TGGGGGGTTCATTTTTCAAAATTTGGCAAAAAATGTACTCGACTAGCAGACAATAGTTGCGTGTTTATGTGTGTGTCTGTGGGTAATGGGGAGCGGTGGTGAAGCGGTTAGCGCGCCGAGTTCGATTCCCGTTCACGGCCAACACCAGTGACGATTATCTGAACCGGTCCTGGGCCTCAAATGAGTACCTGGTGCGGTGTGTAAACATCGCCACTGGGGACAGAAAGCCGGTCGGGCGTGGTGCTGGTCACCCACCCCCTCGTGCACCGTTCCTGCCTTCATAGGTACTATACCCTAAGAGCACTTACCCCAACAGCCTGTTAAGGATACACGGGGGATCTTTGTCCTTGTATTAATTAAAGTGCTGACATTTCAACAGCTAAACATGTAACATTTCAACGCGACTTCCCCACTCTGCCTCCTTTCCGGCCAGCAACCGCAATCCAACATACAGAGCAAACTCAAGTTTTTCTCCGCACAAAATAATACGTTAGGATCATCAGAGTATAACACTGAGGTTTTACGAGTCCTGTTCACACACAGCTTAAGCTAAATGTCAAAGTGTCCTCCACGTTATACGAATTACTGGATGCTTAGCTCATTGCTGGTACTAAACCAGGTGTGTGTAAACTCCACGTTTCTATGGTAGAAAGCAGAGTTCACGGAACACAATTCGAGCACCTTTGACTTCCCTAAACAAAAGAGATTGCAATCCCGCATTCCCATGGTGCAATAAATTCATTAACACAACTACTTCTGACGTCCAACCATCTTAGAGCAGCTTCAGCGTTTACAAGACCGGGCCCACTACAACATGTTCTATGTTGTACAACTCCCACCAGTGTTTGATCTCCAGCACTAAGCGCTGCAGGCTCGGCAAGCTGGTACTGTTTTATCGACCCCCGGACAGACCAAGATGAGGATCGTGGTTATGAGTCGATGCTAAACCACAACTTTTCAATTAATGGTCTCAACAATTGTCGCGTGCAACTGTTCTGAGTTTTGTATGATCAGGCACTTGAAGGGTTGCATTCATAGATCGGCATACAAGGATGGGGCCTAAAGCCAATACGGTGGTTATTGGTGATAATGCGACTTGAATACTACAGCAGACCTTTTTTGTTAAGGACGTAAGAGGAAAACCCCAAGTCAGGGTGTTGGTGAAATTATGAAGATCATGGTCTAGCAACGGAAAGGAAGCGACAGCGAAACACGGTGGCCAATTTGACCCATTGATCTTGCATCTCGACTGAAAGACTTTGTTTTATCATGTTGCAAGTACTGCATTGAATTGGGAACCTGAGAATGGCAGCGGCTGCGTGCCGGGACACGTCGTCCGCTCTCTGCTCGAACGCCTTCGCTCAGAGCAAAGAATTAAGACGTTACAGTGCCGAAGAAGAAACATGCAATCGCATTACACTAACGAGGAAAGAGAGACACGTTTGCACCGTGCATGTTGTTATTATTCGTGCTCAAGTATCTTTAAGAGCGCGTAGAGGAGAGAGAAAGAGTTGTGTGTGTGTGTGTGCACACATCGTGACGACGCCTTAACCCCGCATTGTAATGCGCGGCCCGGCAACTTGCAGTTTGTAAAAATCAATAACCAATAACTTCAGCGCTGTTCAGCTCTCTCAGCTGCACAGCGTGTTGGCATTAACATCTGTGTCACGTATAACAAGTCTTTAAAAGTTAAATCTTCCAAAAATATATTATTTTTTAAAAGTGTATAAAGGGGCCGAAGGGTCGAAAATGTGTGGGTGGCGGGGCCTTGTTTGGCTACCGAGCGCCTCGCACCTTCGCCCGCGGGAAATCCAGGCGAGAACGGTCAAGCGGAGCAGACCCGAACCGGAGATAAAACATCGACACTCACCTGAAGTCCGTGGTGGTGTGCGGGTCCCGGGCATCGGGGAATTCCTCAACGATTACAATGCAAACTACAGCACTGTAACACGAGACGCCTCAAAGCCCAGAGAGACACGTGTTTCTGTTCGCGAGCACCTATTCAAGCCGGCGTGGGGCACGTCGGCAGGCGGGTGGTGTGGACAGGAACCACGCCCGCCCGCCTTTGTCTCCCCAGTTGCTGCTGTTTACACACAAGCAGAGTTAACTTCGCGGAGAATGCCGCAGACAGGATTATAAGTCACTCAGCGCTCACCATATGCAATACTGGGTCTGTGCAAACAGCACACATGCAGAGTAACACACTAAGCCAAAGCTGCCGAGCATCACCTATGAAGTCCGACACGGCACACGAGGGGGGTGGGTGACCAACATCACGCCCGACCGCCTTCGTCTCCCTAGTGCTGACGATTGCACGCCACAGCAGGAACTAGTTTACGGCTGAGTCGACCCTGGGGGAAGCTCATGACCGGTTCGAATATTCGTTGTCACTGTTATTGGTCCGTGAGCGGTAATCGAATTCGGTTCGTGGCGCAGTGCGCGATCCGCTGCTCCCCCATATGCACAGTAAACACGTATGCACATACACCCATACACATGCACCCATACACGTGCATAATGCACACACGTGCACTGCGTACACACAGCCCGTACACGATTGTGGCGAGCGCTGTTTGCGCCGACCTAATAAACCAGCCACAAACAAAGCCGACAATCGCCACTCACCCCGAGCACGACGGTGAGGTTACCACGGCGCTTGTGCCAGGATATGTGCACTTTTGAGGCGGCCACGTGAAGTGTAGAAGGCTGTCGCTGCTTGCAGGAGGTCACGGGACTGACCCATGTGTTACTTGACTGACGGAGACGACTGGAATATGCAACAACCTGGAAACTCCACACTGCCCCCAACTTGCGGTAGCGTTAGCCGCCCGGCGCTGCGCTCGTTGTTGTGAGCGTAGCGCCTCCGCCCCCCGCCGCTGCTGCTGGAGGGCGACTTCCTCCAAGCTGCCCAGTAACAGCAGCAGCAGCAGCAGCGTCCTTCACGAACTTCCTCCACATAAGCCGATTTTAAACCAGTCACCGGCAAATCCACTCAGCTCTACACCCCCCTGTAGCGCGCACCAGTCCACCTCGTCTCTAGCCCGTGCCGCGCTCGTTTAGCCCCCTCGATCCAACCAAACAGAAGCTGCCTGGGCATGCGGTGGCTATGCCATGCGGTGCTTCGTGACCCAGCCTGGCCATGCGGTGGCTATGCCATGCGGTGCTTCGTGACCCAGCCTGGCCATGCGGTGGCTATGCCATGCGGTGCTTCGTGACCCAGCCTGGCCATGCGGTGGCTATGCCATGCGGTGCTTCGTGACCCAGCCTGGCCATGCGGTGGCTATGCCATGCGGTGCTTCGTGACCCTGCCTGGCCATGCGGTGGCTATGCCATGCGGTGCTTCGTGACCCAGCCTGGCCATGCGGTGGCTATGCCATGCGGTGCTTCGTGACCCAGCCTGGCCATGCGGTGGCTATGCCATGCGGTCCTACTTGACCCAGCCTGGGCATGAAGTGGCTATGCGGTGGCTATGTCATGCGGTGCTTCGTGACCCAGCCTGGCCATGCGGTGGCTATGCCATGCGGTGCTACTTGACCCAGCCTGGGCATGAAGTGGCTATGCGGTGGCTATGCCATGCGGTGCTTCGTGACCCAGCCTGGGCATGAGGTGGCTATGCCATGCGGTGCTACTTGACCCAGCCTGGGCATGAAGTGGCTATGCGGTGGCTATGCCATGCGGTGCTTCGTGACCCAGCCTGGGCATGAGGTGGCTATGCCATGCGGTGCTACTTGACCCAGCCTGGCCATGCGGTGGCTATGCCATGCGGTGCTTCGTGACCCAGCCTGGGCATGAGGTGGCTATGCCATGCGGTGCTTCGTGACCCAGCCTGGGCATGAGGTGGCTATGCCATGCGGTGCTACTTGACCCAGCCTGGGCATGAGGTGGCTATGCGGTGGTTATGCGATGCGGTGCTACTTGATCAAGCCTGGGCATGAGGTGGCTATGCCATGCGGTGCTTCGTGACCCAGCTTGGCCATGCGGTGGCTATGCCATGCGGTGCTACTTGACCGAGCCTGGGCATGAGGTGGCTATGCCATGCGGTGGCTATGTCATGCGGTGCTACTTGACCCAGTCTGGCCATGCGGTGGCTATGCCATGCGGTGCTTCGTGACCCAGCTTGGCCATGCGGTGGCTATGCCATGCGGTGCTACCTGACCCAGCCTGGGCGGGCATGCGGTGGCTATGCCATGCGGTGCTACTTGACCCAGCAAGCAAACGCAGCCTCCCTCGCCTGCCAGAAGAGCTCACGGATGGGAACCGCGTCCTTGGCTGTGTGACAGGGAAGTCCTTTGCTCCCCCCAAAACTATTTACCATTTTGATCGTGTACTGTATAGGTAGTTCGAGAAGCCTATCGTGGCTTGCAGCAGTCGAATTTCCATTCTATCTGGTACACATGTAACGGTGGGGGGGGGGGGGGTCGACGCAGGTGTTAAGTTGATGGACGGCTCCCTACTGGTCAACCATGTTACGTGTATGCTGATGACCCGACAATCGCTGCTCACTCTGACAAGTTGGATACGTTGCTAGCCGAAGTTGGCTGGATCTTTGCCACATAAGATGTTGTGGGAGGGGACCTGACCGCCAGCCCTACCAAAACAACCGCCCCGGGTACACTGTGTTATTGAACACCTTACCCCCAGATTTCCATACACGTACAACACTTTTATAAATCCACTGCTGGATGAGAGCATCGGCCACGCTTATGCATCCTATCTCGTAAGCTAAGCAGGGTCTTGAGCCTCTGGAATAATTGCTCGGGTGGATGTAAATTGCAGCATGAGCAGCAGCGGATGAGTTAAGCAAAGTCCATTGTGTGTGGTTTTATGTGTAGTACAGTACTTCTATGCTCCCCGCTCTCACGAAATCTCAATAACTATAGTGGGAGACGTATGGTCACAACCCACACACACATATCTAGCACTTGCACACACACATTAATGATGCGCAGGAGTAAACACAAGTTTGTCTTGAATCAAACACAAACGTGTGGCGCCCTCACCTCGTCACCTTCACTGCGGAGCTCCACGCGATGAGGCGGTCGAGGAGTTGGGATGAGGACGAGATGGATGGAGGAGGAGGTGGTGGGGATCACTAAAGTGGTGAGTTGCCTTGTCGAGGGGAGAGAGAAGTGGCAGTGATTGTAAAGGCACGAGGTGGTGAAGAGATTGAGCAGAATAGAGGAGGTTAAAGAGGCTGACGGCGGGAATCGGAGCGAAGTTTATGAAGTTTGTGTTTGTTGTTTATGTTGGTGGAAGTGGCGCTGAGAAACCAGGGAGATTTTAGCAACACTGCAGGAGCTGCAGGTGGGGACGACTGAGGACAAGGGGATGGTGAAAGAACGATGATGATGATGATGTAGACGAGGTGACGGAGAGAGAAGTTGTGGGTGAGTGGAGGGAGAAAGATGCAGCGGAGCAACTGGGAGAGCTCAGCAAGGGGAAGCAGAAGGCTATGACCTGGAGAGAGAAGATTACAAGATGAGGTGGTGTGGTGATGATGATGAAGCAGAGGAGGTGGATGAGGAGGTAGGGAGGTCCGGGTGATGGACCCAGGATGTTGATGTTGCGGCCCGTGCAGTCCAATCGGCTTCTTTAAGTCCCTCCAGGAGCGAGTGGCAACAGCAGAATCAGCAACTGGGCAACTGCAGCAGGCGTCGTGACGAGAACAAAGGTTCTGATGATGTTGTTGATGTTGTTGCTGCTGCTATTGATGATGGTGGTGGTGGTGAAGCCGATTTTGCAAACGCACGAGTGCTGCGTGACGTCACTCAAGCCGCGGCACCGCGGCCCGACCCGGCGCGGCCACTACGCGATGAACAAATAGTTCCGTCGTCAGCAAACTTACACTTGCAAATACTCAATGCAACAGCAGCAGCAGCGACAACAAAAACACACACGCAGACAAGTGCACACATGCTACAAGTGCCGATGGATTACACATTCGTCATTACGGCAGCGCTGTAATTGTGTGTGCGGAGCCTGGGTGCCTCCGCTGCGAGCAGCTGTACGGGGAGGTGAGTGCGGTGTATCCCTCCGCGGGCGAAGTTATTAAGTGAAATTAAAATTTCATTTCTAAATAGATAAAGCAAATTTAAATTGGAACAAATATACGTGTGAACAAGGGTAAAAGGGGCTGCACATGACACATCGATAACGTCGCGATAAAATATTAATTCGAAAGTTTAAAAATTTACAAATTTACATCTGTAATCTCCCCCTTAAAGACACGGGCGACATCATCCCATGCGGTGACTGCGCACATTTTATTTGATTTCTAACAGACAACAGCGACGAACGCGAACGAACAAGCGAGCTCGGTCAACTCTCCTAACTAACAACTCCAACGCTGTCATTTGACTCGCTCGCTTGTTTGTGTGATTTTCTAATAAAATGCAAAACAAACAGCGAGGTAACCGCACATTAAAACGCACTGCACCCACCGCATTGCTTTACACCGCACATCCATCGGGGCCACTTGGGGCCACTGCACATCCATTGGGTCCACTTGGGGCCACTGCACATCCATTGGGGCCACTTGGGGCCACTGGGCATCCATTGGGGCCACTGCACATCCATCGGGGCCACTTGGGGCCACTGGACATCCATCGGGGCCACTTGGGGCCACTGCACATCCATTGGGGCCACTGGGCATCCATTGGGGCCACTGCACATCCATCGGGGCCACTTGGGGCCACTGCACATCCATCGGGGCCACTTGGGGCCACTGCACATCCATTGGGGCCACTGGGCATCCATTGGGGCCACTGCACATCTATCGGGGCCACTTGGGGCCACTGGACATCCATCGGGGCCACTTGGGGCCACTGCACATCCATCGGGGCCACTTGGGGCCACTGCACATCCATCGGGGGCACTTGGGGCCACTGCACATCCATTGGGGCCACTGGGCATCCATTGGGGCCACTGCACATCCATCGGGGCCACTTGGGGCCACTGGACATCCATCGGGGCCACTTGGGGCCACTGCACATCCATCGGGGCCACTTGGGGCCACTGCACATCCATCGGGGCCACTTGGGGCCACTGCACATCCATTGGGGCCACTTGGGGCCACTGCACATCCAATGGGGCTACTACACTGCACCTGAATTGGGGCTACTACACTGCACATCTTAGACCTACACTGCATCTGTACTGGAGCTTATCAGTTTTTCAGTTTTCAGTTTCATTAATTTGGTATGGCCCCGAGCCATTCGGCTCTTGAATCCGGTGCAAACGCAACAAAAAAAACGTGAACAAGAAAACTTTTTAAGTGACTATGGGCAAACAGAAAAATCCAGAAAAAAACTGCAAAATCTTTCAGAAAAAAAGCACCGTACACCAATGCTCTAAATTAAAGCCATCATTCTAACTCCGTACTACAACAAACAACACCTGTATGAGAACTACACGGCATCTGTAATGAAGCTACTCTGCAGCTCTATGAAGTGCATTCTTCCAAACCTTGGGATAAACTGAAAATGCATTTAAAGTCCAGTGTACTTTACTTTAGTGTACACAAGAACGGCACATTCACTGACGAGTCACATTAGATCACTTGGAATAGAAATTCCTGCATAGTTGCCAATGCTTTTGGTTCGTAATTTCATCGTTCTTTGACAAGATTCCATCACTTCTACTTATCAAGATGATATCTCACCATGGATGTTTCGTTTTTAAATTTCGCGCTTGTATATATCGTTCTGTTTAAAAGACAATATTTTACTGGTAGGAACCTCCTGGTTACACCAGCCCACATGGATTATTGTGTCCGTCGTGCAGGGAGGGGCTGGGTGGGGAGGGATGGGCTGGGTGGGGTGGGGAGGGGAGGGTGGGGAGGGGTTGGGTGGGGAGGGTGGGGCTAGGTGGGGAGGGGAGGGTGGGGAGGGGCTGGGTGGGGAGGGTGGGGCTGGGTGGGGAGGGGAGGGTGGGGAGGGGCTGGGTGGGGAGGGTGAAGAGGGGCTGGGTGGGGGGTGGGAGGGGTGGGGCTGGGTGGGGAGGGGCTGGGTGGGGAGGGGCTGGTCACCCCGTGGTGCCCTTATAAAACTCAACGTTTAACCTACTCACGCCGGCTTGTGCCCGCCCTCACAGTCGGGCATATTTGCGGAATACACCACGCCGCCGTTGACCCTGGCCATTGACCGAGCAACCCACTGAGCTATAGAGATTTTTTCAGAAGCGACCTGGCTACATATGATAGCTCAACGAAATGACTTAGGGGCCGTCCATAAATGACGTCACACGATTTTGGACGATTTTTGACCCCCCCCCCTCATCGTCAGACGGCGTCACAAAAAATCAGACCCCCCTCAAATATGACGTCACAAAGCTCTGCTCCCCCCCCCCCCCAAAAATGCTTCAAATCGCTTTAAACTATTGTCATTGTAGTGCGTATTTAATGCCCCGCTGCACTCTGATGTTGTAGGAGAAAACATTTATTAATAAGTCTATTTAATTAAGTTGAACGTGTTGTCTATATTTACTTAAAGTTGCGCATTTTGATGTGACGTCACATTTCTCAACCCCCCCCCCCCCTCGTCACACATCGTCACAAATGTCTGACACCCCCCCCCCCCCAGGTGCATGACGTCATTTATGGACGGCCCCTTATCACGTGGAAATTTATGGCAGCGAAATACTCGAATAAACCCACGTTTATTGGCTTAATTGTGCGTGCGCCTGATACTGCGCCGCAAGTCCACTGGGATTTTGGATCTCACTGCACTTGAAATGGAACGGCATCGCTGCTGCTGCTGCATCACATGTCTCTACGGGAGACCCTTGGATATCGCGTAGGTCATCGTTCCTGGAAAGTGCCGCGAAAGCCAAAACCGCGATATTCAAAACCTAAACAATGGTGTTCGGGTACATGGTCACCAAATATAGACACATCAAAATTGAAACAAGCAATGAACTGCGTGCCAAATAAACTAAGAAATGTACATAAACACGTAAAGCCCCTGTACAAACAAAAAACATTCCAAGACATAGAAATGGAATACGGAACCAATACTTAATCGATGATGATCCAATGTGTGTGTGTGTTTGTCCACTAATGGGAAGCCGTAGTGTAGTGGTTACCATACCCGGTCACCCGAGGTGCGGTGGGTAAACATCGCCACTGGGGAGACAAAGGCGGCCGGGCGTGGTGCTGGCCACCCACCCTCTCGTGTGTCGTCCCGGCCTTCATAGGTGCTCGCTAACAGCACTTGTCCCAACAGTCTGGGGGGGGATCTTTGTCCGCGAGATGCTAGGGGGCCGTCCATAAATGACGTCACACGATTTTGGACGATTTTTGACCCCCCCCCCCTTCGCTACACGGCGTCACAAAAAGTCAGACCCCCCTCACATATGACGTCACAAAGCTCTGCCCCCCCCCCCCAAATATAAACATGCTCCAAATCGCTTATTTATTGTGGCGCTGCACTCTGATGTTGTAGGAGAAAACATGTATTAAAAAGTATATTTAATCAAGTAGAACGTGTTGTCTATATTTATTTAAAGTTGCGCATTTTGATGTGACGTCACATTTCTCAACCCCCCCTAAGTGCGTGACGTCATTTATGGACGGCCCCTTAGCACGGCAAAAGTGCCAATGCCTGTCTCGCTCCGCACCACCGCATCAGCCCAATGATACCAGCACTTTTGGGGGCGCTATACCCGCGAATGGCCAAAACCAACGCCCGCGATCGCTAAATTCGCACAGAAAGAGTTTGCCCACCGATAGAGAGAAATACATTGCACGTGCATTGCAATGCAGGTTTTGGCCGTACCATGGCACTGCAATGGGGCTGTAACTGTCCTGTCCACGGTGCACCACACTCGGTACACTGCACCAAGTATCCTGAAATGTACCCGGTCCATTCCCTCGGTGCACCCCACCCGGTGCATTGCAACTTACGCACGACACTGCACCCAGTGCATTGCAATTTACGCACTGCACCCCACCCGGTGCATTGCAACTTACGCACGACACTGCACCCAGTGCATTGCAACTTACGCACTGCACCCCACCCGGTGCATTGCAACTTACGCACGACACTGCACCCAGTGCATTGCAACTTACGCACTGCACTGCACCCAGTGCATTGCAACTTACGCACGACACTGCACCCAGTGCATTGCAACTTACGCACGACACTGCACCCAGTGCATTGCGACTTACGCACGACACTGCACCCAGTGCATTGCGACTTACGCACGACACTGCACCCAGTGCATTGCAACTTACGCACGGCACTGCACCCGGTGCATTGCAACTTACGCACGGCACTGCACCCGGTGCATTGCAACTTACGCACGGCACTGCACCCGGTGCATTGCGACCTACGCACTGCACCCCACCCGGTGCATTGCAACTTACGCACGGCACCCCACCCGGTGCATTGCAACTTACGCACTGAATCCCACCCGGTGCATTGCGACTTACGCACTGCACCCCACCCAGTGCATTGCGACCTACGCACGACACTGCACCCGATGTGGTCGCAACTCGCAACCACTCATCCGCCACACTCGTACCTAACCCGCCACCTTCCCGCGTATCATTAGGGACACATTTTGTTGACCGGCATGATCTTAAATCATACTTTACCCTGAACTCTTCCGAGCAACCTATCGGCCACAGTCCCGTTATTTTGCACTCATATTGACCATGAAACAAATTTAATCGATTGGCAATTTAACCTTATGGCGGGACCCATGGGGTCCCATAAGCCCCTGGCTCTCGCATAAACATTATATTAGAATGTCAAAAAATACTTTGCTCTTTTTCACGAATGGGTTTGAAGGATGGTGGCAAGTGTTGTCTTGTTAAACTATGCCTTTAAAAATGAAAACTACTTACCTGCAGTACCTCTATTTAAATACGCTGGAGAAAAAATAATTTACACCCCTCTGTCAATCATCCTCTTTCTTAGTGTGGATTTGTAAACAGTACATAAAATAGTACGCGTTTTCAATGCGTTGTTCATGTTGTAACAAGCCTTTATACCAATGTTACTCTACAGAGTAGTGGGTGGGGACTATGGCTTAATTGCAAAAAAAAAAACTATTTGCACAGATGCATACGGACAAGAGAAGTCTTATCAAACAGGAGGAATTAACGGTGCAACGCATCTCATCTGTTCAATATCTGCAGGTAATAGGATTGGCATCGATTGATCCTGCCTGCAGACATTGGTAGATAAGAGAGCAGTTTCACTGTATTTTGCATACCGTGATGACAAATAAAGGACTTAAGTCGTGTAGGCAGTTTTAGCAGCTTTGGATAAGACTCATGATCCTTATTCTTAGGTTTTTTTTGGTAAAGTCACGTAGGTAAAAAATTATTTTATTTTACTTTTATTAATTTAAATTTTTTACCTACGTGACTTTACCGAAAAAACCTAAGAATATGAATCCTTGCAGTCACGAAAGCTTCAAATCTAGAACTCGTGATCCTGCCCATACCCGAGCATGGATTGATTTCCCTTGTTCAGCTCTTCTCGCTGGACACGTGACATTACAGAACGGTCCGCGCCACGTGGGTCGCGGCGTTGATGTGCGCCGTGGGACGGAGTCTCCAAAAATACATGAATTAATTACGATTTTGACTTGCGTTTCTTCGGGACCCCGGTGTCCCGTCATGAGGTTCAATTCAAGCATTCGCCAAATAGCAAAATTATTTTTTGTAATGCGTTGTGTAATAAAATGGGAATGAACGCTTTTCAGGCGGAATGCTCGCGTGTAAATATCGAATCGCGGTTTGGATTTTTTGACGGCCGTCGGCTTCCGTAGCTCGCGAGTCGGACTTCTGTATCGGCACGCGGGCCGCGGTGACGTCATGTCTCCCCGCTCGTAGTGACGTCATCTCTCCTTGCTCGCTGTGACGTCATCTTTCTCTGATCGCGGTGATGTCACTCTCTCCCATCCCCGCGTGCAAACTCAATGCGGGTGACGTTCGCCTTTGCAAAGCTGGTCCAAAGATTGAATTTAAAATGCAATTAAACTACTTGCTTAAATTAAACGTGCATTTGTCCACGGCGTCTATTACAGCATAGAATACTCGTGCACCTTTTTGTCGGTCCTCTGCTGGACGACGGCCTTCCCACACACCTATTTTGGGTCACGAGTTGGGGAGGATGGTGGTGGGGTTGGGGTTGTTGTGTAACCACAGTTCACAACGCCGGTCAACAATGTGCGTTGTTGAAGGCGGGGAGAATAAAAGTGCATTACAATGCAGTTTGCTGCACTGCTTACGAGCTCTGCAACATTAACCCCCCTGCATCATTTCCTCGTGACACACTTTGATGATTTGCTGTGGCTTTTGCTGATGAGCGCCAATGTTACGCAACCCGTCTTCGTCTCTCTTGTATGGCGTACTGCTGATGAAACCCATCCACGCGTATTGATTTTTAAGACTTTCTCCGGGTGGTTGAAGGTGGAGGGAGTGGACGATGCCAAATGGGGAGCCGAGTTCGATTCCCGCTCACGACCAATAACTAGTGACGATTATACTGAACAGGTCCTGGGCCTCCCCTAGGTCGGCTCAGCCTCAAATGAGTACCTGGTTCGGTGTATCAGCATCGCCACTGGGGAGACAAAGGCGGCCGGGCGTGGTGCTGGCCACCCCATCCCACTCGTATGCCGTGCCGGCCTTCATAGGTGCTACTCGCTAACAGCACTTGCCCCAACAGTCTGTTAAAGCCAAAACGGGGGATCTTTGTCTTTGAACAATGCCAAGAGGTCATCAAAGCCATTACCGTTGATGTCCAACACACGTGGCCATCGCTTCCTTCTTTCTGCCACCTTTCACAGCTGTTGTATAGTGGGAACACACGTCCAAGGTTTTTTTTTGTATCATAACGACCACCAGCTGGCTTGAGATTTGGCTTTCCTTTGTTATTATACGGTCGATGCGTCCTTCGAGGACTGCTCGTTTTGTCTCAGAGCCATCTCATCTGGCTTAAAGTCTTCGAGGAAAACTAAAACGTAACATTGTTAGACAAAGGCCAAATTAAGGGAAATTAAACGGAGCATTCAATTCCGCGATTTCCACCCCCCCCCCCCCCCTACGCTAATGCATCGCAGGGCTGTGGGAGATCACGACGGCTTGTGGAGAGGCAGCAGTGGAGTGATCATGGCTGATGATTTTCATTATTCACAGGTAAACTGATCCCGTAGGCTCACTACACCTGAGGCCCTGGTGCCATTACAGGTGGCTTTAGACCTCCAGGGTAGTCCAGATGTCTTGTGACTCCCCATTTAATTCTCTACAACGTAATATATTATTTTAAAGCAAGGTTTATTTAAAACATAAATTATATGCAAAAGGGAAAAAAAAGATAGGGGTCAATTAATTGGGGGGTCACAAGATATCTGGGCCACCGTATAGAATCTCAATTTGTCCTGACACGGCTATCACTGGAAAAATAAATACTGTAAGGACAATTGGCCTCCTTAACGTATCTTTCCCTTCACAAAAATAAATAAAAGTAATTTATAACACATCCCATCAGCCACGTGGGCCGTCTGGGAATGCATACTTTCAGCAGCGTAGGTTCAACACAACTGTGGACCAGTTTCAACATTCAACGTCTCATCAGCAATCCAGGCTTTGCGTGCCCCAATTGGTGAACTGCCAGTTGTTTATTATAGACATTGACCTTCTCTTTGGCCCGGAATCAGAATCTTTAGTGACACTGGAGGAATCCGATGAGCTATGAAGCTCTTCCAATCCACACACATATGCCCAGCAGGGTTTAAGGTAGACGCCTGGCTTGTTGGATAACGCGAGCCCCATTATGAGCTCACAGCACCTCAAACAGGGGCCCAGGTTGAGCCACGGGTGGGCTCCTGGCCGCTGAGTTCACACCTCGAAAATCCCAGGTGGCACCCAACACCGCTCTCTGCTGCCGTGGCCGAAGCCTCCATCGCCTTGGTTATTTATCCCCCTCGGTGGATTGATGATCACAGCTGTTGACACAGGGGCGGGGTGGCCAAGGCAAAGGCAGGAGGAGTATTTGTGTGAAGACCTATCCGGCGAGGACCTTGTGCCACACACACACACACACGCGCACACCGGCTAGGCGCTGAGCCAGAGAGAACAACAGGCAGAGCAACGAGCAGGGCAGCAGCTAACTACGACAACGCAGTCGTTGTCGTCGCTTCTCTCCGCACACGCGGGGGGCGGGCAAGGCACGCCAGAGGAGGAAGGACGGAGAAGGGAAGGGAGCGTGTCACCGGCAATGAAGGCCAAGGCGGTCATCCTGGCGTCCCGTCCCGGTGAGTGAACCATGCGTTCACTTTCAGTGCCCCCCCCCCCAACTCTCACCACCGTGAGCGAACCCGGGGCCATGCGCTCACTCGCACTGGCTGCATGCTCACACGTGCAGCGCAACACCCAAGACAAAGATACCCCGTGTAGCCCGAACAGACTGTTGGAGCAAGTGCTGTAAGGCGAACACACGTGAAGGCCGGCACGGCACACCAGGGGGGCGAGTGGCAGGCCAGAACCACCCCCGGCCGCCTTTGTATTTCCCAGTGGTGATGTTCATTTTCCACACCATGGGGAGACGCGCGCGGGTTGGACTGCACACACGGACACAGACTGCACACACGAATACATTGTAGCAGCACGCATCACAAAGTTGGCCCATAGCTAGACCAACTTTATTTTTACCTTTCCTCCTTCACCTGCATCTGCTACAAAGTATTGGCTAACCAAATACGGCTTAGTCAATCGGCTGAAAGACCTCCACGATAGTATTTAGGCAGTGCACTGCGTGAACGATAGATGTCCTCAAGCGTTTCACGTTAACTAGGGCTCGTCAGTGTGCTGCTATAGGGTGCCAAGGCACGTCCAGAAAATTAATGCGAAGCAACCGCCTTTTGTCCACGTTGATTTAGGTCTCGGTATTGGCAGAATCAACTGCAGTGTTCGTGTCTAGTCATACAATTTTTAAAATTCTCGACCACATTTAACCGACAGGTAATTGTAAACACTGTAACTTTCGAATGTATCCTTTTATTTGTGAAAAGTCAGATGAAAATATGAAGTTGCTTCTCTCGCGAAATCCTTTGTGGATGACTTATCCAAGAACAAACAATGGATAATGGGATGAATTCCTGCCACTTCCACGTCACTCGTCTATGAATATTAACATTTCGCGAGCAGGAAACATCCATCCACGGGCAATGCTAGCTCTAGCAGGTCGTATGTGGCCACAAATATTAGTCATAAGCAACAGAGCTGAAGGTAAGAGGACATCCCACCGTGGATGGATGGCCTTTCAGCTGATTGACTAGGCTATGGATTTAATTCGTTCATGTTGTTTTATTCATTTATACCATATGATGCACTTTCCAGCCACCTCTGATACACTTTCAGGCAACTAACCTTGTACGAATGCTTCCATTAATCCGTTTTTATGTTGACAATTAACACATTATTTTTTTATAACAATTATGGAAATGTAATGCACGTGAAACGTGAAAGTATAATTTAGGCGTACGGAGCAAACAGAACCGTGATGAGACAATAAAAGTTATATTTAAAAAAGTATTTAAAAACACGTTTTAATGAAATGTACTGTACGAGTAATGGCAGAGCTCCACGACTCCAGGAAGTGGCCCCGAAGCTTGCCACAACGTCAGGGACCGTGGCCAATTACAGCCAACGTCAGTTGAGCGTGGACAATTAGACCCAAGCCGAAACATAACATATAAAAAATAATTTTAAAGATATATATTTTTATGATAGAAAATACTTTTGTCATCAGTATGACATAAGTATACCAAGTTTGCAGTCGATACCACATTGGGAAGTGGGTTAAAATTGAGTTAAACGATTTGAGGACACAACAACGACAACAACAACAGTTCATACAAAGCGTGTAACAATGAGACGCAAGATGGAGATGGTTCAAGCCAAACAATGGGAATTGATGTTTTACTCGAATAGTGACCCCAGGTCGTGACACTTGATTACACTCAAATTCCGGAGGGCGTCTCGGCCCTTCGCCCCTCGCTTGTCGCCCCCATTGATGTCCTCTTCTTACCCCCCACCCCCCAATGTCTACATATACTACTGACTATTGTATGTAGGGTGTGTAGGCTGGAGGCATATTTGTCTACAAAAAGAGATTTATTTTTTGGTTGGGGGGGGGGGCGGTGACATTCTTTGGGGTGGGGTCAACGATTTTTGGAAAACTGTTGGATCAACTTTTTACCCCCACATCTGGGAGGGGGGTCCACTTTCTACAACTTTTTGATCCAGGCCTTCAGAAAGGCTTGCTTAAGTTAGTTGACAGACAAACGGAACGCCGGGCTTTTATAATAGAAGATTCACACAATCACTGTGGGAGTGAATTGATAGATTCCCACTTTGCTACCCTGCCTTGCATGCATGTTGAACTTCTTTCGCACCGTACGTAGCCAACCATGCTAATTGGAGGTGCGGGGGAATGAATCGGAGGTGTACGGATACTGCTGAGATTCCACTTCTCCATGGTGCTGCGATAGGTGCCGACGGGGAACCTAGGATGGAGAATTTCAAGGTGCAGGAGCAAGAGGTGGTGGAGGAGCCCCCCGAAGGGCACGTTGTGCTGAAGACGATCTACCTCTCTGTGGACCCTTACATGGTAACAAAGACAAAGGTTTCCTCGTATAGCCTTCAACAGACTGTTGGGGCAAGTGCTGCTAGCGAGCACCTATGAAGGCCGGCATGGCACACGAGGGGGTGGGTGGCCAACACTACGCCCGGTCGCCTTTGTCTCCCAAGTGGCGATGTTTACACATCGCACCAGGTATTCATTTGAGGCTGGGTCGACCTCGGGGAGGCCCAGGATAATCGTCACTGGTGTTGGTCGTGAGCGGGAACCAAACTCATAGCACAGCATGCTAACCGCTACCTGGGGGCATGTGTGTGCGTGTGTGTGCGTTACATGGTAACGCACACACACACACATGCAACACACGCATGGGACTACCCCAGGGGAATCGGTCTAATGCGTGTGTGATACTCCCAGGCTACGAAGTCGCCAGTGGATAACAGGGTGGTAAACGGGTCGCTTGGTGTGGTCTTGGACTGCCTTTGTTGTTATTTTTGCTGCCTTGCCCAATCTTCATCAATCGGACTTATGTAATAAATGTATCTGTTATTTATGTATATTGAGTGATCTGCTAACCATGTTGCATTGTATGCTGTTGTCACTTGCTGATCCGCCGATACTGGACATCTGTGAAAAAGAGCTTCATCGCTCATCGGATTCCTCCAGTCTTTATAAAGATTTAGATTCTGATATACATTTTTGACTGGTATCTCCTCTCTCATATGTGTGGGGTTTTTCTCTCTTCAAATTCTCTGGTGTCATCACAGAAGCATGATATATACCACTAATAATTACATGGCCACAATTAAAAATCTTTGAGTCTGCGGTCTAAAACAAGGCTGTGTAGCGATGCCATGTGACATGGAAAGGCTGAACTTGTGGTCACATTGGCTGTCAAATAATCCCCGATTGCGCGCATTATTACTGTTACCTCCAATTTAGGCCCCTTTTGTGCCATGGTGGCTAAAACTGGAGCTTGCTAACGGCACTTGTCATACGCACACCCACGCGTGTGCGTGCGTATACAAGCTCGTTCGCAGCACTTGCTCCAAAATTCTGTTTATGCTATACGGGGGATCTTTGTATTTGTCTTTGTCCATACAAGTGCAATACTCACCACTACACACGTGCATGCACACACGTTGCTGGGGTGTGCGTGTCCGTGCCTAGCTTATGTGAGGTGAGCTGAAGGTAACCGTTGCAGATGAGTGAGCCCAGGGGAGAGTTGCCACCGAGACATCCCGGTTAGACACTGCCTGGTAACGAGTGCACAGTCGTCTACGGACGTTTTCGTAAGTCGCCGTAAAGTAGCAGACATCACCGAAATGGATGTTTATTTATTTAGCTATTTCACCCACTTGGATTAAATGTGTTCATGATTTAAAAAAAACATTAATAGTGCAGGCAGGACAACCGTACGTTTCGAACAACGCATTTCAAGCAACAACAACAACCCACAGAAAAAGTACACAGCCTCTGTGCATTATGCAAAAACCATCAGTTTCCGAAGAATGGCATTGTGATCCTCTTGTATGTCACAATCAAAATAAAACGTGAGCAAATGTGATTGACTATACTTATCAATACTCAGTGCTGCAAATTCTTGCCTCTGGGAGTGTGGAAGTGGGAACTCCACCTATATGGTTTGCAGAAGCAGACTTTGCAGCAGTGGGCTTTGGTGACGAGACTATGTTGATGAGCCCTAGTAAGTGTGAAACCAGCCCAAAGTCATCTCTCATATTACTGCTGCCTATCAGTCACGTCATATTTTCTCAAATTTATTTTGACGGTGGCTTAAGACAAGAGGACCACAATGCCCTTCTGCAGGAACTGCTGATGGTTGTTGCATAATCCACAGAGGCTGTGTGCTTCCCCCTAGATATATTCCTTTTGTTTCATTTATTTCATTAGCATCGTGCCATGAGTCAAAGACGTTCTCCAGCAGGAGTTCTTGCAGTTGGCAGCGTGGCATCACATTATATCTTTGGGACCTTTTTTCCAGTATCAAAAATGAGAAAAGGTTTTGCCCTTTCTGGCAATAAAACAGGTGTTAAGATGTTCAAACACCAAATAGATGCCTTTTGCAAGGAATCAAGTCTGCATTGACCACACGTACTTTGTGGTGAACATGCAAACAAACATGCTCTAATAAAAAAAGGTGTCAGTTTTGTTGCCAGATAGAAGGGTAAAAAAACAATTATTAAAGTTTTTACTGGCAAATGAGGTTCCAATGGTGTAAATGCTTACCCCGAGCTCTCATACTCTGATGGTGCATTGTCTTTGAGTTGTGCGCCTTTTGGCGTCATCTGGTCCAACACCATGTGAGACTAGGCTCTAAGGAAAGCTGTCTCGGGTGTGGACCAATCAACTTCAAGGACAGTGCATATATTATCAGAGTTATGTTTTTTGTTTGCATTATGGCAGCAGGTATTGTGGTCTATGCAAACATGACTCCTTGTAAAAAAAGGTGTCAGTTGTTGCCAGATAGAAGGGTAAAAAAACAATTATCATGCTCTGATAATATATGCATTGCCTTAGAAATTGATATGCCTAGACCAGTTTGTTTGGATGTTTTTCCACCCGCGCTGTACCCGGTCTGCGTGTGCCCAGCGCTGCCGCATGAACGAGGACCCAGGTACCGACTACTTGTCGGCGTGGACGGTGGGCGGCGTGGCGGAGGGCGGCGGCGTGGGTGTGGTGCTCTCCTCCCGCGGCGAGGGCCTCAGCCCCGGGGACGTGGTCACCAGCTTCTCCTGGCCCTGGCAGACGCACGCCGTGCTGCCCGCGAGTGGCCTGCAGAAGGTGCCCACCCGCCCGCCCGCCCGCTGTCTCTCTACCAGGCTCCCGCGTGTGTTCTATCAAGTGTGTGGGACTGCGTGTGTGTAAGTAGGTGTGAGTGTGGTGCCAGTAATCTCAGTCAGTCAACCCATGGCACCTGAGTCTGTTCCGTGACCTCCTGCCACCAGCGAGACTTTCACTCTTAACGCCTTAGGGTGCACCTAGCCTGGCACAAGCTCTGTGGTGATATCATTGCCATCTATTGTTGTAGTTCTGTCCACCCCACCCCCTCGTGTGCCTTGCTGGCCTTCGTAGGTGCTCGAGAATAGTAATTGCCCCAACAGTCTGTTAAGGCTCTTAACGGGGATCGTTGTTGTTTATTTATCTATGCCCTGAAGTGCACCAAGCCTGGCACAGGCACTGAAGTGACGTCACCGCCACTTAGTGCCGAATGGTGGCTGTTGTTGCTATGTACTTATGTGTGGTGCATCTGTCAGTTGTACTTAAGTATGCCTTGCCAGGCTTCATAGGTGCTCGCTAACAGCACTTGCCCCAACAGTCTGTTGAAGATATACGGGGGATCTTTGTCTTTGTTTTGAGGAGTGGTAGTGTAGCGGTTAGCATGCTGCACTAGGAAACCAGCTACCCGAGTTCGATTCCTGTTCATGGCCAACACTGGCGGGTGACAATTATCTGAAACAGTTCTGGGCCTACCCTAGGTCGACTCAACCTCAAATGAGTACCTGGTGTGGTGTAAATATCGCCACTGGGGAGACAAAGGCGGCGAGCACCTATAAAGATTGCCATGCCAATCTTTATAGGTGTTCGCTAACAGCACTTAACCCAAATCCACTTAAGGCTATAAGATTAATCTTTGTCATTGTACATGACTGTGTGTGTCACTGTTTCTGCACATGTGTGTATAGAATTGACCAAATATCTTACTCGTATATCAGATCTCTGGAGAGTGGATTGTTGCATTTCCTCTCTGGGACTCTTCATGATCTTTGACCCTGTAGCCTCAATGTGAACTTGTATGGCACAAGTGCTGTGATTATGTCAGCGCCACTTAGTGGTAACTGGCAGCTGTTGTTATTCATACGTGTGTATGTAATTGTTTTCACATACGTGTGTATGTGAATACAATGTACTTTTTTACATGCCTAGATCTGTGTGTGTGCCTATCTGTATGGCCCTAATAGGTGCTTGCTAACAGCACTTGCCCCCACAGTCTGTTAAAAGGCGATACGGGGGATCTTTGTCTTTGTTGCACCTGTGTGGGTTCTTGTGTATGTGTCTATTGTTTTTATTGTGTTCATGTGCCTATCTGTGTGCGTGAATAGTCAAAATGGAGATATATTATGTTGTTGTTGTGTGTTTGTATCTTTGTGTGCACGTGCACGTCTTATGTAGACGATGGAGTGGTGTTGCAGTCACTAAACCCAGGTTCAGATGTTGGCCATTGTATCTGCATCACTGAGAGGGGGCGTCATCAGTTTTTCTTTCGATTCCGTTATGATGACGTACGTCATCGACATGGAACCAGAATAAAACATATCAGTACCAAGGCTCCCACAAGGCCATACAGGAGGGCGCGTGGCACAGTTTGGCGCCAGCTATCGTAGAGTGCGGTCGTGTCACTACAGATGCAGTGGTGAAGGGTGACGCCCACCCTGCAAGTTGCATACGTCTTGGAACGGGAAAGGGTTAACAGCACTAATGGAAAGCTGTACTGTATCAACACCTCACTTGGATCTCACTAAGGTCGGCTCAGCCTTAACATGCATACCTGATGGAGTGTGTGAACATCAGCACTGGAGAGACATAGGCAGCCAGGCAGGGAGAAGCAGTAGCTTCGTGACTAACTCACTGCACTATGCTCCAAGTGACGTAGACACAATGTCTGGACTTGTGTGACACCAATGTACTTGTTAAAAATAGCTACTCAGATGTAATCTGTAATTTCGTCACTTATCGCTCCCTTTTCACTAATACCACGGTCATTCTAAACAACTTCGCGCCTTGATACCTACACCCATGTCAAGGATTCATGACATTAGATTGGGTTCTTATCTCATCCTGGACAAAACATTTGACTTCCTTCATTACTCGCATTGCTCCGATTTGGAATTCCCTCCTTGTTCCTATAAGCTTGCTCAATGTAAGCAATGCTTTGATTCTCATCTGCTGTACTATCATTAATTCTCTCTGTCACTGGCTGTTTTGCATGATAGTCCTCTCAGCAGAGTCTCAACACCCTTCTTCAAGAGACTCCTGCTTGAAAGTTTTACTGTTTAATACAATATTAGAAATACATTTTGCTGGCTGGCTTCCTGCTTGGATTCCTGCCTGTCTGGCTGGCATGGTGCACAATTGCGTGTGCGTGGATGGTGACATCACAGCGCACATCTGTGTGATGCCACCCGCATCCCATATCCCTGAACTAACTTCTAGCTGATGCTATGCCTCCCCCCACTCAAGCACCCACCCACCCTCCCTCAACCCATGCCACGGTACCCGTGCAAATGCACGGGATACGCTATCATATTCTACAACTATATTAGACAAAAGTATTGCTGGTTGGCTGGCTGGAGGGAGGGATGGACAGACGATCACATCCAAAGGACCCCGCGGGCTGTCAGCCTTTTACCGATTCGCCTTTCACCATGAGAAGGAAACCGATTTCCTCGTTGTGCAAGCAGAGCCCTCCCCAAGCCTCCCCTGTGTTGCAGCTGGCTTCAGCGTGGCTGGCGGAGCGGCCCTCGCTGGCGCTGGGCGCCGTGGGGATGCCGGGACTCACGGCGCTGCTGGGGCTGCGCATGGGGGGCCACGTCGTGCCGCGCGGCGGGCAGACCCTGGTGGTGAGCGGTGCGGCCGGGGCCTGTGGGCATCTGGTCGGGCAGGTGAGGGTGGGCCCCAAGGTGGGCAGGGACATCGTCCGAATAGAAAAGCAAAACGCGTCGATGGGTGTCGGTGATTACAAAAACAAAAGGATGAAAAAATCACGCGTGGATTCTGTAAAGCCTTCCCAGCACGCGTTGTTCCTAGGAAGTTAATTACATTTGTATGTTATCGTACTATTGGACTCATTGGATAAGTATTTTTTTCGTATGTATATGCGTGTATGGTAAACTTATTTCACACCGTACGGAGCCGACCGTGCTAATCGGAGTTTTCAAACATCGCTGCAACCTTCCGGTGATATTTTCTTGCATTTGCTGGAAAGAACAGGGAAACTGTGTATATTGTGAAGAAAATAGGCGGACGAGAGCAGGTTGGAGTCCTTTTGGACAGAACTACAATGACGACAACGCCACTTAGCGGTGAATCGTGGCTGCTGTTGTGTATGTGTGTATGGTAGTATCGGTGGTGAGTCTGCCAGTCACCTCAAGTCAACCCATGGCACCTTCTGGGTCTGTTCCATGAACTCCTGCCAACGAGCCTTAAACAACATCGCGTGGCCTTAAAGTGCACCTAGCCTGGCAAAAGCGCTGTGGTGATGTCACCACCACATAGAGGAGAACGGCGGTTGTCGTTGTTTGTTAGCACACCGCGCTACAGATCCAGTGGTCCACGTTTCATTCTCGATCACGGACAACTTCGGTGACGAATATCTAAATAGGTTGTGGGCATCCCCTAGGTTGACTCGGATTTAAATGAGTATAGTTCGTGTCGTCCGAGAGTCATTACACAGTACACGGTGCGAATTAAAAACACATTCCTGCGGAGGGAGCTGGTAGGAACGTTGGGTTGCTCGGTCAATGGCCAGGATGAGCGGCGGCGTGGTGTATTCTGCAAATATGCCCGACTGTGAGGGCGGGCACAAGCCGGCGTGAGTAGGTTAAACGTTGAGTTTTATAAGGGCACCACGGGGTGACCAGCCCCTCCCCACCCAGCCCCACCCCTCCCACCGCCCACCCAGCCCCACCCTCCCCACCCAGCCCCTACCCACCCTCCCCTCCCCACCCAGCCCCACCCTCCCCACCCAGCCTCTCCCAACCCAGCCCCTCCCCACCCTCCCCACCCAGCCCCGCCCCACCCTCCTCACCCAGCCCCTCCCCACCCTCCCCTCCTCACCCAGCCCCTCCCTCCCCACCCAGCCCCTCCCTTCACGACGGACGGACACAATAATCCCCTACGGGCTGGTGTAACCAGGAGGTTCCTACCAGTAACATCTCCACTGGGGAGACAAAGGCGGCTGGGCGTGGTTGCTGCCCGCACTGCCCGGTGGTGTATTACATTGTCCTTCACATGTGCCCGGTCACAGCACTTGCCCCAACAGTCTGTTAAGGCTATACGGGGGGGGGGGGGTCTTTGTCTTTGGTGTCAGATCGCACGGCTGGAGGGCTGCAGCAAGGTGGTGGGGGTGTGCGGCTCGGCCGCCAAGTGCCGCGTGCTCACCGCCGAGCTGGGCTTTGACGCGGCGGTCGACTACCGCGCGGAGGACCTGGCTGGGCAGCTGCGCTCGGCGTGCCCCAAGGGGGTCGACCTCTACTTCGACAACGTCGGGGGGCCGCTCAGCGACGCCGTCATCGAGCAGGCGAGACGGCGACGACCACGCGGCAGTTCGACGTCCCCGTCGGTTTTTCGGTTCGCGATAGTCGCGTCCTGTACTCGCGTTGTCCGTAGAGGTTGGGTTTTTTTTTAGGGGGGGTTAGGTCAGATGGCTTGAATGTAAAATGTGTCGTTAAACCCGCCAACCACCCGACAACGGCCAATCGGTAAGGTTGATCACGAAAACGAAACGTGACGATTAGTTACTACTTGGGCATGCCGGTGCGTTGGAGAGTAAACCCACACATGGATAATATTGGTCGTGAAAGCCTACACACATTAAACTAACCTCACGTTGCTGTTTCTGTAACTTGGTGCTACTTTGCAGACGGCTATGCCGTTCTCTTTGGGTCCTTGCATGTAAAACAAATATATTTAATGACAGTCGTCTCTTGATGCACGACTGCTGCATGAAGAGAGATTGATGATGTGCAACAGCATCATCATTTAAGGTAAGTTCATTTCTAAACTATTATTTAATACTTTAATAGTTCGTTGAATTTACTTTATGTTTATTATAACCACTTTTTTGCGTGTTATGATAATTTTAATGTGTTCAATAGCTCCTGTATTTATTGAAGGTATTTCAATGGAGGTTTTCGTCGAGCCATTATCCTGCAAAAGTTGCTTTTCACGAGCATCTCTGGAATGTATCCCGAATAACGAGGGAATTCTGTACACATCTCATCAGCCACATGGCCTACTCGGTGATTTTTTTTTGCCCACCAGCATTGGTCTAATACAAGCAAACTCTAGATCGGTTTTGGCATTCAGTGCCTCATCGGCAGACAGGCTTGCTCGGACCAATCCTGGTGAACTGCCAGATGTTAAAAGGCTAGGACCCCCTCTGTTAGATATGGGGTCATGTTTTGTGTTAATTTCACTCTGTTTTAAATTCAAATTTTCCCATATTAACTTTAATTTCGGGAAATGTATTTTGTTTTCCACTATTTTCGATTTTTTTTATAGGCAGTGCAGTTGTTTTTCCTCTGGCGCTCAGTGCTTGTTAATTGCTTTTATAATTTTGGTGAGCCAGGTCACCACGGTCTCTTTGAGTTCTCACTTTTGGTTCAACGAAATAAACTCGGGAACCGACACGGGGCGCACGCCTCTAACCCCCCAGTGCCTTGGACGCGGAGTCGGTGGACCGCGCGCACACACCACTGCGCGAGACTCTCTGCCGTGCTCCGAGGTGGAGGCCTGTATCTGCAGTGTAGCAGGAGAAATTTGGCCACAATTTTCACTCTCCCTTGAGTTGATGGTCTGAGACAAACGCGCGAGTGTTGCACACGCAGTGTGGCTCCGCGAGATGTTAACTATCTCGCCTGGTGTGCAGGAGATCATGGGTTCGATCCCCACTCCTGACACCTGTATATTTGGAGTTTGCATGTCTCTCTCCCCGTGGTCGTGTGTATTTTCTCCGGGTCCTCCCGGTTTTGTTCCCTCCACATTTAGAATCAACGTGCTTCTCGAGTATTGGACTGGTATACATTTTCGGCCATTTCCTTGAGCTATCGTTTGTGATAGCCAGGACGCTTCTGAAAAACAGCTACATAGCTGAGTGGGCCTTGCCCTTGTAAAATAAAACATTGTTTAGTTTAAATAGTTTAGTTTATGTGCCATGAAACAACCAGTGTGCTATGGTCCAACGTCCTCCACGACCGCACGGCTGCATGTGGAAGCCCCGAGTCAGCAGAAAATTTGCAAAAGAGTTGTATATCTACAAATAACATCGGTTCAGCAAAACACGTAATTACAAACCCAGTGTGCCCGCGTGACCTAAGGATATGCTGATACTGATCTCAAAATCATATTCGCGATTTGTAAACATAGCACAGCAGAGGATGTGGCAGCGACTCACATGCCCGTGCGTATTGGCGTAGGGGTGGATCTGTGTAGGTCAGTGTGTGTGTAGGTATGCATGCGTGGGTGTGATTGTGTTGAAGTGTATGTGGGTTTGTGAACATTATTTAAGGTTATTTAATAGGGATGTGTTTGGTTGTGTGGATATGTGTGTGCATGCGTGTGGTTTGTGTGTATGCTCGTGCAAAAATTATTTGGCACATGTCCTGACGGGTACTCTAACATCTGACCATGTGTGTCTGGTGCTCGCCGAGCTTCGTTGACTTCCGTTTACTGAACGAATGCATTATCAGGTCACACTCATTACACACAAAGTGCTTGCCACAAATGAACCACGATACCTCGCTCATCTTGTCAAGGAGCATAAACCATTACGCAAACTCCGGTCATCATTCGCAGCGGCTTTTGACTAGCCATCGAGCAAAGACGGTCACCACATTGAGCGTTTTTAGATGCGCTTCTGCAGCTGTCTGGAACGCTCTTTTTACGATATTAGGAAGCCACTGGAGCTATGCACTTTAAAATCATCTAATTGATAACTAATTTCTTTAGAACAGTTTTTTTCGTTTAGTTTGTTGTCCTTTCCGCAGAACACGGATAAGCACGGTTAGCTACGTACGGTGTGAAAGAATCTTCTTGGTTCTTTCGGTAAAGTCACGTAGAATGGAAATAATAAAATAATAAAATAAAACATAATAAAATAATTCTCACGACGTTTCGGCCACAAAGCAAGCAGCCGTCCTCAGGTGAAGACCAGGTCTGTCGGGGAGACAGCGTGACTTTACCGAAAGAACCAAGAAGATGAATCCCTGCAGTCACGAAAGCTTTAAATCGAAAGGTGTGAAAGAAGTTCAACATACATACATGTTGCCTTAAAGCTTTCGTGACTGCAGGAATTCATACATGTGTGGATTGGTATGTTTCATTCTCTTTGGTTCTTTTGGTAAAGTCACGTAGGTATAAAATACAATTTTATACCAATTTAGAACTGGGTTTTCAGTCATGAAAGCTTCAAGTCAAGATTGCTATAGTTCAGTTTGTGAGTTGATGCGTTTGTATGTTGCCTTCTTGGTAGTGTGTATGTGTTAGTTGAGGTATGCATACCTACACGTGCACATACATGCGTACGTGTGCGAGGTTTAGGTGTGCGGAGAGCAGTAGTGTAATTATTTCGCTATTGCTGGCGACTTGAGTTCAATTCCCAATCACTGCCAACATCGGTGACGAATATCCGAACTGGTCCTGGGCCTTCCCTAGGTCGACTATGTCATTAAAAAAGTACCTGGCACAATGTGTAAGCATCAGCAGTGGGGAGACAAAGGCAGCCAGGCGTGGTGGTTGCCACACCACCCCCTTGTGTGCTGGCTGTGTTGGCCTACAATAGCACTTGCCCCAACAGGTAGACGGGGGATTTTCGTCTCGTGGTGTATTGTATGTATGTTGAACTTTTTTCGCACCGCATGTGGCTAACCGTGCTAATAAGAGGCGTAGGGGAAGGATAGAACAGCTGGTGTTGTGGGTAACTGGTGTGCGTGCCTCTTTGCAGATGAATGTGGGGGGCCACGTGGTGCTGTGTGGGCAGATCTCCCAGTACAACAAGGACGTGCCCTACCCGCCTCCTCTCCCACTGCACACACAGACCGTGCTGCAGGAACGCAACATCAGCAGGCATGTGCACACAACGATGACAACAACCGCCGCCGCTCGCCACTAAGTGTCAGTGACGTTACCACGGCACTTGTGCCATGCGAGGTGCACTTCCAGGCTACGTGAAGTGTCGAAGGCCCGCTGGCAGGAGGTCACGGGACAGACCCAGGTGCCATGGGTTGACTGAGATGGCTGGCAGTTGCACCAGCTGTGCTCCCCACTGTGCCAACGCTCTGCGGTTTAGCCACCCGGCACTCCGCTCGTTGTTGTGAGCGTTGTGCCTTTGCCCTCCATTCTACCGAGTGACGTCACCGTAGAGCTTGTGCCAGGCTCGGTACACTTTGAGGTCATTCCGTGAAGTGTGCAAGGCTCACTGCTGGCAAGTGGGTCACGGGACAGGCCCGGGTGTTAAAAAGAGTGTACTGGCTGAGATGACTGGCATATGCACCACCTGTGCTCCCCACTGTGGCAGCACATGAGCAGATACGGGCGCACACTAACAGGCACGTGCATGTATGACGGCGCACATGGGCACACAAACTCGCAGAGGTGGGACAAAGTCATTGTTATGCAAGTCCAAGTCGAGTCTGAAGTCATCAAATTCATGACTCGAGTCTGACTCGAGTCCAAGTCACATGACTCGAGTCCACACCTCAGAGGTGGGACAAAGTAATTGTTATGCAAGTCCAAGTCGAGTCTGAAGTCATCAAATTCATGACTCGAGTCTGACTCGAGTCCAAGTCACATGACTCGAGTCCACACCTCTGCAAACTCGTGGCAAGGCTGTGTAGGAGGTGTGCCCTACACACACCTGCAGAGGTATGCATCCATGCATCCACATAATCCTTTAATACATACATGCCCCCCCCCCTTCCCCCGACATTGGAATGTAGAATTTTCACCACTGGCCGAGCACCACCAATGGGGGTTACTGCCACTCAATTGCTCGAGCAGGGAGAGGCTCCCCTTTGACTTTTGCTACGCCGCATCTAACGTGGTGCGTACGCTTACGTAGTGCGGGATACGTGCATGCGATGAGTGCGTGCATAATAAGCATGCCATGATTCACTCTTTCGTGACAAAACTCGTCCTCTGTGGCCTACATCGTGCACGCAGAATCCAAAGTGGCTGCAGTTTTCATGACCCGATTACTCACTTTATGAATCAGGAATACACGCGATTACGTGCAATTGTACTGTCGTTTCCGCTCATCCCACACTGTCCCAATTGTGCTGAATTCATTACGCTTTGTTTACCCAGGATATCCTTCATCTTGGGACTCTTTTTTTCAGGAGGGTCCTGACATGCTGCCACTAGCCATAACATCTCCTGTCACGATTGAAAACTCGAGCAGCTATAGCTGTGCAGCCCTTCCAGTGACAATCAATGAACAACCTCTGTCAGCTACATCACTAAATGTCAAACAAGAGCCTTGAAATACACTGGAGAACTCTATCTAAAGTAATTTCAATGTCTCTTTATCCACGCTCGCGGGACATCTTTTATATGCCCTGCATGAAGTCTTTTGTCACATTTTAATGGCTCGGATATTTTAAGTCTCGGCTTAAATGAGCCACACGGAAGTGAAACACCAAATTAAGTTGACAGTTTCTCGTTGCAATGATTGGATTTGCTTGGGTAGAATGGGGATGGTTTTAGTTTGTATGTGTTTGGGCGATTTATCTTCCTTGTACTTTGCACTATTATGTGTTTGTATGTTTGCCGTTGCAACGTTCTTCTCCGCTCCTACTGGACATCTGTGAAAAAGAGCTTTATAGCTCATCGGATTCTTCCAGTATAAATATTCTGTTGGTCATTGAGCCGAGACTATCAACGTTCCACTTACACGCAAGACCATGGTTTTATCATAGGCGGTCGTCTGGACTGGAACCCGTTCCGAGCCGGTTGCTGGCTCACAAGCTCTGAGCCCCGCGCCACACGGCCACCGCGCGCACTGGGATCCGAGTCTAACGCACGTCCGTGTTTGTATCCAGGGACCGCTTCCTGGTGCTCAACTACCCGGACAAGCACGCCGAGGGTCTGCAACAGCTTGCCAGCTGGGTACAGAGCGGTCAGCTCAAGGTGACTATGCCTCGCGCTAAAGCAGAACGAGTTTGACATGCTGGCTGCGCTATCTGGAGGGACGTTCTAGGAGGCGATGAAAATCTCCGCGCGGAAAGGCAGAGCCTCGTGGTGTTGTGTGGAAACGGGTTTGTATGCGTGTACGCTTAGCTTTATTCGCACCGTATGTAGCCAACGGCGCTAATCGGAGGTGCGGGGAAGAGACATCGAGGCCACGGAGTCGCACCTCGAGTCACTTCAATAGAACGCTTCTCATCCAAATGTTAAAATCCTGTGCCCATGTGCGCCTGGAGATTGGTGGACAGATTAGAGCTGCATCCATGCTGTGCCTTGGAAAGCCGTGTATGATGCAACATGAAATGGTTAACAGCTGCTTCCGTTACCTTCCATTGACAGGTCAAAGAGACAATCATGGACGGGATAGAAAATGTTGGAGGTAAGGATTGAGTTTAAAACACAAGTGACAGTACATGATCAGGCATGTCGATAGGAGCAACGGTTCCCTCTTACAGTCAAGTTAAAAAGGTGCGGTCATGAATCTTGAGACACTGTGCCCTTTATGGCAAGGTGTAGGTCAGGCAACTTGGAAGTTTAACAAATAATGCCGATGTAAGCAGGAAAGGGGTTTTGTTGTTACAGACGGAGCACAGATTACTAGCATGGGAATTGTGCAGTGAGCAGCAACCCAGAGGTCACGGTGCAGGATCTGGGCGATTGAAATATTGGCGAGGTGTGTGTGTGGGGCATCAACAGCAGTGGTTGTTAATTCCACACTCCTGGAGTGGCACCCAGAGGTCAGCAACCATCGGCGAAGTGGCAGTGTTGATCGGAGCAGTCCTGGGAGACGGAGTGTCAACTCCTGCGGTGGCTAATGAACCGAGCAATAGGAAGCAATGGCAAAGTGTGGTACCATCAATTGGAGTGGCCGAGATGACCCATTGAACCTGCCTGTGACTTATACAAGACTGAACATTTAACAAAATTCTAGATTTGAAGCTTTCGTGACTGCAAGGATTTTTCGGTAAAGTCACGTAGCTTAAAAAAGGAAACAAATAAATTAAATCATGATAGAAAACGTTGGAGGTAAATCATGATTTAATGTATTTGTTTTCTTTTTTTAACCTACGTGACTTTACCGAAAAAACCAAAGAGTATTTAACCAAATCTTGGTTCATAATAAAAGTTTTTGGGTTAGATCGCGTTATTTATAAATGTGTCGCAACCCTCCGCCACCCAACACGGCCAATAAGTAAAAAATGTGTCACGTTGACAAAAGACAGACTATTTTAGCCCACTGGTGTGTTGAAGAGTGAATCCACAACATTTACAACTTGTTGGGGTTCAACAATGATGTCATCCTGCACTATTTAAGACCGGAAGCAGGTGGATGGCTTCACAGTTCTGGCAAATCGCCCGAAGATGCTGGATGTAATTTCCAGTGAAACGTCGTACTCAAATTGTAAATGTTGTGGATTCACTCAACGCACCGGTGGGCAAAAGTAGTGAACTATTTGTCTTTTGTCAACGTGACACATTATTTTTACTGACTGGCCGTGTCGGGTGGTGGAGGGTTGCGACATTTATAAACAACGTGATCTAACCCAAAAACCTTTATTATGGTTGCGAAAGCCGATGCGTTAAGACAAATCTTGGTTATTGATTCAACTGTTTCCAAACCCATGCAGTTTTTAGTTTGACAATACAGTGCGGCGTGAAACAGCCACTAGTCATTTGCTTGGAACTTTGTCCAAGTGCTAACATCAGCGAGCATGTTCGGAAAGTTTTGACTGCGTGAAGTCCACAATCCACCTTGGGTTGGGCTTAACGAGTACCAATCTGTGGCAACTCTACAGCGGTTGTCCTCAGGAAATGACCCTTGCAATTGGAATGTGGAAGTTTTATCACTGGCTCGGGGTGGTGAAACTTCCGGTGACACCATTTTGTGTGTATGAAATGCACGATTAAAACTGAAAAGGTAGAAGAGGGATCAGCCTTACAGATGTTTACAAAAGGAACTGAGTTGTATAAAAGCGGCACACTCATTACCTGACTACTCTTAATCCATAATAGATGTTACTCACATTAGTTTTGTGATCTCGTGAAGGAGCATAAACCATCACGCAAACTCGAACAAAGACGGTCACTGCATCGCATGCATTCATGTGCTTCTGCTCTTCCTATGCACTTTTAAATATAGATTGACAAACTCGTTTCTTTAGAGCTGCTTTTTGTGTTTAGTTTGTGGTCCTTCACCTGCACCTCCAATTGGCACGGTTGGCTACGTATGGTGTGAAAGAGGTTCAACATACAAAAACATGAAAATGGTGGCTCTACAGCATGTAGAACAGTTGTCTCAATACCCCACTTAGCTTCAAGTTCTGTATATAACTCAAGACGTAGGTTTTGAAAGGCAATATGACTCGTACATAATTGGTTGTGGGTCAGGCCAGATCAATTTGGCTAAATTTGTCGCAAGACTCTCCACCACTCGACAAAGCCAAACAAATTGCCGGATGGCATACGAGCGTTTCACAACGCACCAATTATCGTTTAAGCTCACACCGGTGAGTTGTAGCAATTCTCACAACCATATTTAACACGGTGTAGTTTGCGTCAGGAAAATCCAGGAAGTCTTGACTACCGTATAGTCGCAGTAGTGTGACCCCAGACCATCTTGTAACTTGGTCGGAGCCACAACTGTGACCATGGCTATGGTATGCATCAAGCCAGTATGCATTGCAAGGTTGGCACTGGCTGCGTCGTCGTATAATGCACGTTGTGTCCTCGCCCCCTCCCCGCAGCTGCCTTCGTGTCCATGATGCAGGGCGGCAACATTGGCAAGCAGCTGGTGCTCGTGAGCCCCTTGTAACGGTGCCCCTGCCACAGCCCGCACGAGGGTGGCAGGAACGGCGGGTGGGCTGGTGCGGCCGTGGCCGCGTGATCTGCCAGCGCATGCCGAACCCCCTATCCAAGTCAAGATATCTGTCTGGCATGTCCGGGGCACACGCAGGATCACATCATGCGGTAGTAATGGCAACTGCTCGCCAATGGCACGCTGCCCAATGGTTTAAAAAAATGTTTTGCTAACGGTAGGCCATTGTGTGGGCAAAGAGCACTGCCACTGGCAGAACAGGTGGTTTCGCTCGGTTTTTTGTAGAAACAAAGGGAGGTCCCCTCTGTAGAGAAGCTTTAGCATAGTGGAGTACAGGCAAGCCACAATGGGATTGTTGAACATCAACGTCACAATGCCTACGCATTGGCCATGTGGCAGTGTATGGAGTCAATTAGAAATGGGTAATTACACTCGCAATATGTGCTAAGAATTGCGCTTGTGGGAATCGATTATTCAAGCATTCTAATTTGACAAATCAGTGGCAAATCGATTCTTCAATTGAATCGCATCCCCAAATTGAAGTTGCATGGTGTTAATCGTTACATGCATTAGTACACGATTTAATCCCATCATAGTTTGCGAGAATGAATAAATTCGGCTATCACTCCATCTTCCATGTAAACATTGATGGTGGATCACCGATCCATAATTGGAACTGCAGGCGAAAAGCAGGGTCTTGCTTGTAGCTTGCAGCTACTGCCGTGTGAACTAATTGTTGGTACTGCAGCTTGGTGTGGTAGTATTGAACTGCTGGTCATCATCAATTTGAACGGTCAGGTTGGTGGATCACACATGGCTGACGATGTTTACAGCCACTTTTTATGTAATGAGATGGTGCCGCCTCAAGGTGGCACTACACCCAAGTCGGTTTTTACGGAGCATTATCGCGTTGCCATATATTTCAAGTAAACATTTCTCCAGGCTCTTCTTCCACTTGTAAATCTAAAGTAAGAATTCGCCTATTATCTCGTAGGACCATAATAAAAAGGTCTTCATGCTCCTCAAGAGTTTAAAAGTGCCTCTTTTTTCATCAAGGCACAGCAAAGTTTTAAATCAACAAAGTGTCTCCCTGGTGTAGTGCATCCATTGGTGGCTTTAAACTGTAGTGGGAAATTCAAACTCGATTATGGCTGGGGCCAGTGTCTCCATTGGACAACCACTTGACTGCCGACAAAATGGTAGCGAGAGAGTTAATGGGCTAAGATGAGCCCTGACCATATTTGACCTCTCCCCCCCCCACTCGGTTTCCGCTCTTGAAGGAGCAATCCGAAATTAACAAATAAATGACCGAAACAAAGACATACAAAAACCACTCGGCACCACCCGCTGCATAGGCATATAAAACGCATTTTATTGCCGAGCCATTGATGTGAATTGTTTTGAGAATATACATTAAACACAAAAAGTTACATGTTGTACAAATTTGTGTTGGGTTATCTGTGCCGGTCTTTTGAGTATATCAACTTCTTTGTTGTAATGTTGAATTAATTACGGATTGACGCCTGTACAGCGCTGGGGTTGACTGCTGAAACTTGGTCAAGTGTGGTCTTTATAGCCTGCACAAAAGGGGGCAGAAAAACATTCCATTTAACCTTTCGAAATGAGGCACTAGGACCAGATGCACACAGCATCCAACAATTACCACACACACTCAAGAGAGGTCCCTGTTTAGCCTTAATCAGTGTCGTGGCAAGTGTCCTTTGAGAGCTCCTCTTAAGACAGCACCACAAGGGCTGGGTTTGTGGTCAGCGTCATGACCATTGAATGATTATGAATATAACACCAAAACAGGTATTTATAATTTAAGGCCGAGTCTGCCGATGGGAAGCTTAGGACACTTATTACATCTCATTACCATCTCGTTGGAATTGTGAACGGCTTCATTCAATGTCTCACTTGTACCACGTCTCATTCATTCCATTGGCCGGAAAGAATATGATCAATGTAAATGAAATGGAAGGTAACTTTTAAGAACAATTTGACATCCATCATTGGCTTAAGAATTTACTTTCATCAGAGCATGCCTAGCGAGCTGCTACCCACTCGCACACTTGGGCCAACATCGGCAGCAACAAGGGGTCATGCGTGCTTTCCAAGGCTGTCCACAATTGTCAGGTTGGTGCCATTTGCACTACCCAGAAGGTACGGCTGCATCCACGCTCGAGCTCACACTGGACTTGGTGGACATGAGGCACGGCGTGATTCCCCCGACCCGGTTCAAAATCGGTTCTTTTAGTCCCGATTTACCGTCTTCCTTTGTAATGTTCCTTGTGTGTTTTTCTGTCACGATTGTGCAGTTTCGTTCATTCCACTTGACTACGCGGTATATCGCTTGCATGAAGCATAAATGGTTCTCACGTACATGATTCACTGTATCGATTGTAGGAATCGGGGGTGGTCCCAGCAACAAAAACATGGTGAGGGGCAGACTGTTATACAAAGTCAATAGTGTTGGGAAACGAAATTGATTACCTAAAAGTTTTCATTACATGACAAATGTATCTAAAATTACAGCCGTATATTTCTTTATTTCCAACTGTACACTTGTGTAACATCAAAAATTATGGCACACAATAGTCACCTACAATTATTGGGGGGAATGAACGGTTAACATCGTGCTGGTGACATAACCGATTTTAAACTAATGATGCATCGCTGTGCCTCGCAGCCTCTGCTTTAACGCACTCGCTTCAGTATTTTCGTGAATGGTAGATACACCACGGACTTTAGTGATAGATACACCATGGTGGCAAGATCTTAACTACCTCGCCTGGTATACAGGAGGTTGTGAGTTCGATCCCAACCCTGACGCCTGCTGTATATTTGGAGTTTCAATGTCTCTCCCCGTGGTCGCGTGACTTTTTTTCAGGGTCATACGGTGTTTCCCTCCACATTTATAATAAACACGCATTTAGAGAATTTGGCTATTAAATTTCCACACGACAAGCCACTTCGTTGAGCTATCATTTGTGGCCAGGTCGCTTATGAAAAAGAGCTAAAAAGCTCAAGTGGGCCTTACCTGGTAGAATACAAAATAGTTTATAGTAATAGTTTAAGTATTTCGACAGATGAATGCGTGCATACGTACGTGATCTCTCGGAAGGCTCTCTTCTCCTGGTACTTCACTTTGTGTTTCCTCTTGAACCTGGGACGGAAGGATACGAATGTATAGATGTCAACGTAGGCACGCAAAAGAAGGTTACACTTAAAACAACAGAGCCGGCAAGTGTTGCAAATACGCATGGCAGGGAAGCTGAATGTGGTGTCCCGCTTGCACCAGTGATTTGCAATAATCTTGCACTCGTGTAAAGGCTGCATGAGTGAGCGTATGCATGTTTCACTACGAAAGAAATAATACAAGATTTATGGAAAGCTTTCAATCCTTTATCCAAGCCAGGTGATGCTGTGATTAAAACCAGTAAGAAAGCCATAAAAGAGGCCATTTCTGGTGGAGGACAATCAGCTAAGGCCAATGCATACATTATCAAAGCATATTTGTTTGCATTTTTCACCACAAGAATGTGTGGTTAATGTAATAGGTGTCTGCTTGGTGTTTGAACATCTTAGCACAACTCCTGTATTCTTGCCAGAGGCTAAAGCCTTTTATTTTTGAGAGTCTTGATACCGGCAAAAAGGGTACCGGATATAACGTTGATGCTGTATGCCTAGACACAAAGTGCATACATAGACTGTGTACTACGTGTCTACGTGTGTCCGCATAAATGTACACAATGCTGCTCCGAGTGGCCTTAGATGATACCACCACAATTGGACCCAGTGACAGCGACTGCTGCTTTGATTGTTGCTGCTATGCTTGAGCGACCACTCACTTGGCTCTCTCTCTGGGCTCCAGCATGTTCCGCTTGTGAAAGCTCTTGAATCGATCCATCAGCAGGCTGCCCTCAGGCTAAGGGAGTCAAGAGGTGGGAAAACAAGACTTGTAGGCAAAGAAACAACTCAACAACATCCAACCCTCAAGTGGTTACATGTATTTGTCATGATTTTGGGGGTGATGGTTCAAGAATCGATCATTTTGTGCGAGTTTCTATCAATCCCTTAGGGTCTCCGTTTTATAGTTGTTCCACTCCATGCCTCTAAATGGTACGTTGCCAAATAATTTGTATAAATCGTAAAGAACGGATTACTAGCTCACGATTTGAATAATGTATCATGGGCATAATAATTTACTGCATCATTCCACGCCTAAAGTGTTAAATGACATTATAATTATCACTGGAAAGCCCCCTCTTACAATATTTCCTTTCATCGCAAAGCAAACCACCAGCCTTGGTGGGATTGTGGTTAGAGTGCTCGGCCTTCTAAGTGGATGATTTCCAAGTTCAAATCCTGGTCAAGGGTAAACTCGAACTAAAATCACCCCTGGAGGGATATTATATAAATCGAGTAGCACTTCACGGTAAGATTTACCACCACGAGCTAGTGGCCTCCAAGGGTGAGTGATGAGTGCCCACCCCATGGCTCGTTAAGGCAGGACAACAAGGTCTAAAGGTGTCCGAAGCCAGTTTGCATGGAGTTCTGTAGTCTGGTAATGTCTGCTGGGAAAACGTAAAACTTTGCGAAGTTACCGTCTATCCAACTGCAAGCCAATGGCGAGCCAGATTCGTGTCACAAATGATCAATTCGATAACTGTCCGTAAGAGAAATCCACTTGTTTCAATGTAAGAATATCAATTGTGACGAGGGTAGACAAACAATGAATGAACATTACTGCCGTTTGTATCATGTTCTCCCAGTGCATTAATGCCTACATGGACAATGCAAAATGTGGTAACAAGCACACGTACAATATAACAGGCACACGCGCGCACACACACACAAAGCAAACGCGCGTAATCACATGGGAGTGCCAACACACATGTAATCATGCAAACACGTCTACTAAATTTGAAGCATACAAACACGCATGCTTCCGTATGTTTGTGTGCGAGCTGGCACAGTGCCCTTTATATCCAGGAAAGCCTCAATGACTTTGACCAGCCAATTCCATTAAAACATGTAGAGGATACCCATTCAAGTGGAGGAATAACACTTATGCATACATACATACACATAATAAGCAGGCACGCATTGGCAAGCATGCACACGCACGATCATACACACAGCTTGTGCACGAGCATGCGCATATGTTCACACATGCATGCAAATACATGCATCCGAGTTTGCACATGCATATACAGTACATGCTTAAGCATGCAGTGCGCGTACAACCGCGTTACCTTGAGCTCACGCAGCGTGCCAACGAGTTCGTCGCTCAGTTTCAAGTCAACATCGGGCTCCGCATATCTGCAGCACAAGTGCACGCACATCCACTGAGCGTCCTGCCATGAAGCTCCTTGCATCAAACAGTGTATACTGAAAAGACCAGAAGCTTCCTGCTGGTTAAGAGAGTACTTTAGAAGAGCATAAGAATGCTGTTAGTCATGCCGCATGGAGAATCGCACCCATGTCCCTGACGTGTGTGTGTGCGTCTCTGTGCGTGCTCACTCGAACACCGGTGACGAATATCTCAATAGTTCCTGGACCAATGGGAGACAAAGGCGGCCGGGCGTGGTGCTGGCCACCCACCCCGATGCATAGCCATGCCGGCCTTCACAGGTGCTGCTCGCTAACAGCACTTGCCTCAACAGTCTGTTAAGGCAACAAGGGGGAGTGGGGGAGGATCTTTATTTTTTCTCACTTGAGACGTCCCAGCCTCTTGGGCTTGTTGATGTTCCGCAACCGCTTCTCCTGGCGGTGCAGCTTGCGCCGGGCCAGCTCCGCTTGCCGGGCGTGCACCTCCTTGCGCACCCTGCGCAGCTGCTGCGCCTCCAACCCCCGCACCCGCGCCACCTTCTCAGCTTTGCGGCGCCGTTCCTGCACGCGTCGGGGGGCGGTAGTGGGTGGGAGGGAAAAAAGACGTCACACGTTAAAGAGGGTCGCACACGGGGATAATCGGCGCCAAGGGAAATCGCATCGCTTGTCGCGGCACGACAAGTGGTCGCTTGCGACAAGACGCATCACAGCGAGTGATCGCGTGTCACGGTTGTGGCGTTAAGGGGAGTGGTTGTATGGGCCATCGCAGTGAGTTGCTGTGCGCTGCGACGCTTCACGTGTGCATCGTGGGGTGAACGCTGCGTCTCCGTGTCAATCCAGCGTACCCTTTGCTCTTTGTTGTTCCATTCCATTGAGTTTTCTCATTTGGTTTCACCGGTCTGTTGAGCCGTCTACCGCTAAGACGATGACTCCATGGCTACAGATGGGTTGTAGAAGGGGTGAAATAGCTCGGGACGACGGTGTCAGCCCCTCGCCTTGGAATCCTCCCTTGTTACTCTCGCATCCCATTTGTCACCGTGATGATGGACTCATCACAGTGAGGTTTTCATTCATGAAATTATTCATGAAATTGGAATGCGTGTCAAGAAGGCATATCGACTAAATCGGTGTTCTTCACTAATGTTCAGAGGTTGGGCCATTTTCGCCAAGAGACATCACTATTGTGAGGGCCACCACACCGCTTGAAGGGGCGTTTTCACATTTGTGTATTGTCTGGGGGCCGCACTAAAGGCCACCAGGGTTCGCCAGTGGCCCGCTGCGGGCCTTGCAATGAAGAACACTGGACTAAAATGATACACGAGGTCACATTGTATACTGCAGCGCCCTGAAATATTACGCTAAAGCGAAACAATTCCATGAGATCCTCAGCAATGCTGGCGTGGTCCCAGTGTGCCCCAGCACTTGCTCGTCTCCCACCTGATCCTTGGCTGCTTTCTCGCGGCGCCGCTGCTGCGGGGTCTTCTTGTCCAGCCGGCTCACGGCGCGGACCGACACCTTCTTCTCCACCTCCTCCACGTCCGCCTTCTCTGCCTCCTCCTCCCCCTCCGACTCCTCGAAGAGGCCCTCGCAGATCTCCTTGAACACAGATGCCTGTGTGCAGCCCAGAAGCAGCGAGAATGGGTCAACGATATTCATGTAAGTTGAGTGCAGTGCAAAGTGGAGCATTGAAGTGCAGCGATGGGGCCATGGAGCACCATTGTACAGTGCAGAATGAGCCGTACCTACAGTGGAGGTTGAAGTGTAGAGTACTTCAGTGTAGGAAGGTAGTGTGCGGTGTAGGATGGTGGTGTAGTGTAGGGGACCATGGTGTAGTGCAATGTAGGACCATGGTCCAGTGTGTAGCTTAGGGCCATAGTGCAGTGTAGGGGATCATGGTGCAGTGTAGGGGAGCATGGTGCAGTGTCGTGTAAGACGGTGCAGGCGAAGACCTGAGTGGGCCGTTCTTGCCCCGCAGGATAGCGAAGCTGTCGTTCCAGCTTCCGCTGCTCACGCAACTTCTTCACCTCCACCGCATGGGCATCCAACAGCAGCATCTATTAACGACACATGCCCACAAGCGCACACACACAAACATACCCAAGAACACACATGTACACAGAACACGCACTGTCAGCTGGTTTTAAATAACGTTGACCATCCTAAACGTTTCCATAGAAGGCACCTGTTGTCTGGCGCAGATGCACAGTCCAGTTTCACGAAGTCTCTCAACAATTGAGCCCTGTGACTCAAACCAAGCCTGTGATTGAACTGAGCTCTGGTGGAATGAAGCGAGCTCCATGGAGGAGCGGGGGTGGAAAGTGCGGTGCCCTCAGCCCCGCAAGCGCGGCCAACGTGGCCGGCACGGGGTCCCACACGGATCGTCACATTCTGGCCTTGCAGCCACGAATACTGGGAGCGCAAGGATGGCTTTCATCATTGGGCACCGCAGAGGCACTTTTGAAGGTTCACTGGGGTCAGGTAGGTGACTGCACAGCTGGTGCGGTGGGATGCGAGTTGGCTGTCAACACTGGCCATAATGATCCAACTAAAAAGGGTTCAACTCTGCCCTAGCTCATTAACCTCCCCCTTTAAAGTATCTAAGACTGGCTTTTCACAATGACTTTTAGCAGCCACTCAACATATTATAGCCCTATCACTAATAATTCAGCTCAAACCTCCTTCATGAACAAATTAACTAGGACCAAAAGTAGCACACGTGGGTTATAACCATACCCCACTGTTGGTCAGCTCATAACTCTTAACTAGTGTCATCTTGACCAGCAGCTAGGAAAGAGACCATCTGGTTATCAGTTTGGTAGTATTTGCATATGCATGAGGGTGTGCCAGTAGACTGTAGGCTTTTTATAGGATCTTTGTGTGTTTGGTGTGGAAAGCAGTTGTGCAGATACTGGTGACCTGGATTTGATCCCAGGCCATTGATATATTTATTGTCAACATGCATGCTTCATGTGTGTATATAATAAAAGACTGAACAATACCCTCCTCCAGGAAGGGGTGGCTCAATAGCGCTCTACACATGACAAGCTACATACTGTGCGTCTTAAACATTTTAAAAATCAACTAAACAATGTATTATTTTACCTACTGAGATATGTAGCTCTTTCAGAAGCAACCTGGCTACAAATGATAGTTCAACCAAGATCTTATCATGTGGAAAATTATAGCACGCTAAATACTCTAAACGCATGACGTAAATTCTAAATGTGGAGGGAAAAACCAGAGGACCCATGGAAAAATCTACGCGACCATGGGGAGAATATGCAAACTCCAAATATACAGGTGGCAGGGTAGGAATCGAACCCACGCGCTCCTGTTTACCAGGCGAGGGAGTAAACATCTTGCCACCGCGCCACGGTAGTGAGATCAAAGGGAGCCCTCAGTGAGTTGTTTCTGTACGGCACAAGGTGACTCGGCACCACCTGGGCCTACAAGCGGGCATTAGTCTGCCTGCCAGAAGGAGGTGTTTTAAAGTACAATACATCACCTGGTGGTCTTCGTAGGCCGGGTTGTAAGAGAGGCCTGGGAGTGGAGCTTCTACAGCTGGGACACGAGATGGCTTTTCCAGCATCAGAATGTGTGGCTGTAAATGAAAAACCATGCAAGATCCGACCAGCAGAGAGCACACAACTGCATTAACAGAAATACATCAACCCACAGAACCACAGACACGTACAGACAAGCAACTACACAAACATTCACAACCACAAACAGAACCAAATTAATACACCATAACCACATGACACTAAACACAGCCATCGACTGAGGCATGCATATAAAGAGGTGGTCCAAGTGGTGAGTCAGGGTATGAAGGACTGTGCAGTGAATGTGGTAAAGCCCTGGAAAGAATTGGGTGGTTAAAAGAGTACCAAGAACACTGACCCCACATGGGTGGGAATGCCAGGAAATAGTGATCAATAAGTATCGAAATGAGCATGTAGCATGAGTCATTATATGGTGAGTGAGAATTTTGAAAGCGGTACATACAGACGGTGAATGCGTACAAGCAGCATGCACAGCAGGGCTGTGAGTAGGGCTCACCTTCACCCGTTTGCGCTTGGTTTGTTCAAGAAACCAATCATCCTGGCCCTGCAGCTCCTTGCCCAGGGGCCCTGAACCACACGGCGACATCACAATCACATTTCTTTAGAACTGCTTTTTAATTTTTGTGTTTAGTTTTTTGTCCTTCCCCCGCACCTCCCATTAGCGCGGTTGTCTACGTACGGTGCTGAAGGAGTTCAACGATCTTGTTTCATATAATTTTTGTTTAACAATTGAGTGTACATTTCATATATTGAATGTTTAATGCACAAATAAATTATGGATATAGTTAATTACATTGTAGTGTAATTGGAAGCACTGCGTGCATACTGACATATCTTAAACCTGGGCATCTCTTGCTAAATGCTCCACATGACCAAAGAGCCCCTTTGGTTACCTGACTACATCTAGCCATGCAGGTGGCTTGGTAGCTCAGAGGGCTGATACTATGCTGGAGCAGTGAGCAGGAATTGCTGAGAAATTGGTTTCAATTGTGCATCCCCACCACGAGCGATTCAACAAAGTGGTAAATTTTACGACGGAGTTAATGGTCTCTGCTCAGCCACCAATGACTGCAGAAAAAAGTATGTAACACTTTAGTTTATCATCTAATTCTGCATATTTTAGTTCCCAAAGATGAAATATTTTAGTATGATTGACATTCTATAAGCACTCTGAACAGAGTACATCATGAAAGGTGTACGACCAAAAATGGAGAAAAGACCAATTGAATCTAATTCAAAAGCAGTTATGTGCCATCATATACCTGGGCGAGTCTTTGTCCCAATGTTGAGTTTTTAATGTACATTTCAAAACCTCGTGACTAAATTACCGCAACAGCACCAATTGAAATATAGCTGTATAAACAAAGCAACAACAAGAATCACTGGCCGCAACAGCTGCCAGACAACAGCCCCGACTGGAGGTGGGTGGCCTCACCGTTGGTATCCCACAAGTCATAGAATGGGCGCTCTGCCTTCCCTGGCTCGGGCGGGGCGCTGGCTCGCTTCCGCGATGCACGTGCCCGCGCAAGCAGCAGCCTCTCGGCACGAGCGTCGGCGCCGGAGTTGGGCCCGTACCGCTCGCACCGCGCCACACGCCGGCGTGCGCGACGTGCGCCAGGGACTTGCTGCACGCTCAGGCTGTACAGCGCCACGCTCGTATAAAACACCACTCCCCTTGAATATGCGTGCAGCATTAATTCCTTTATTGTAATTTGTCGATAAAAAACACCTGAAATTACAAAGGTCCCTCATTTTGCGTTAGAGACTGACGGTCAGAGTGCTTTCTGTCAGCACGTATTAGGCCACGGTGGTGAGATGTCAACTACCTCGCCTGGCATCCAGGAGGTCGTGGGATCGATCCTGACCCTGACGCCTGTATATTTGGAGATTACATGTCCGTCTCCCCGTGGTCGCATGGATTTTTCTCCGGGTCCTCCGGTTGACCCCTCCACATTAAGAAACAGGCGTTTAAGAGTATTTGGCTGCTATGAATTTCCACATGATCTGCCAATTTTGTTGAGCTATCAGCAGTCGTGTTAAGAGCACCATGCCTGAAAACCTTGGTCTCGCAAGTGCTTAAGTTCATACAAAGCATCAGGCACTCATTTAAGGTTGAATAGACGTAAGGCATGCACAGGGCATATAGAGATATCACTTGCTGTTGCTGGCTTAGAATCAAATCCATAATGGTAGAATTCTAACCCCACACACGAACCACTGACATATTACTCACTATGTACACTCACAAAAGTAGACATATCCTATACACAATAACGCTATTATATATGAATATACACATTATAATACTGTGCACATTGTTAATACACTAGTGCGATTAGTTTAAAGATTAACTATTTTTCTTAACACACTCACAATATCACGACCAAATGACTTATTTTAGATTTATAGACTGCCGGGCCACGTTCTGATCGTGAGAACCAATTTAGTTTGGTAGTGGCAAAGCCATGCACACATGGTAAAACATTCGTCTCCACGCCACTGCACCAGGTACAGGACTGTCGTTGTTTTAAAGATGAATCTCGAGGAACACTCACTTTAGGGGGGTGTCTACTCCGGAGCTGGGCTGCAGAATGAGATCGATTTTCAAGGGCCTATCCCGGCCCTTGTTCGAATTTTGATCTGTAGGGGGACAAATGCAGTCAATACAATCTTAAACGACTGAGTTATCGAGTAAAAATTAAAGAGCAAAAGATGGGGAGCGGTTATACAGTTTGGCTTGTGATATAATTCTTTACTTTAAAAAAATGTTTTAATGCACGTGTTATACCGTCTACAATATGGTCAGCGGTGTAAAGTTAAGTGTCTGGTTGATCGGTTTATTTACGAGTAGTGCTAGGATCTCGCTGGCTAGTGCGATTAGTTTAAAATTTGATTTGCTCGTGATTTTGGTTAGCGACAGGTTATAGCTGGTGCGGTTTGGGTTACACGTGTATGATGTGAACATTTCACTTTCTGTTTACAGCCCCTTGTGAGACTCAAGCATGCGTATGCTTTTATATTATCGGCGAAAACGTACCTTTCGGTTTATTTTTGGTGTCTAAGAAGAAAATGCTTGCATCCGGCTGATCTTTCACCAGGCCCCTGTACAAAGAGACACGCGGCAAAGGCGGCACGACATTGTCACTTCGGTAAAACCTAAGCCGATAATTCACACGCGCGCCGACTATTCTGAATCACACGACATAGCGGAGCATCTATAACATAATTGTATTAATTAGTTCCCGTTTTAATTGAAAGGCCTCAATCCCACGAACAAGGCGTGGTGTGGGGGGGGGGGGGTCGCAGCCCTCAGCTCCGCGGGCATCGAGTCGCGCTCGGCGGCAGGTAAACCAAGCAAGGCAGGCTTGCATTCGCGGCCTGGCATCATAACTCGCTCGTGGTCTCACCCCGTGGTCCGCTCCTGCAGCCTCACGTCCTCCAGGAACTCCTCGACGTCCGTGACATCGCTGTACTTGACCCAGTTCTTCTTCTTGTTCTTATTAATTTTTTTCCGTTTCGGCCGCGCCTCGGCCACTTGCGCACCACGTTGCTCCGCCATCTTGTCCACCAAAAGGAACGACGCGACGTCACTTCCGGCCTCGTGTGGGGGGGGGGGCGCGAGTTTCTTGGGTTTCTAACGGGGGGGGGGGCCGCGAGTTTCTTGGGTTTCTAACGGGGGGGGCGATGCCAGAGCAGAGGGATTCCCTCCAGCTACAGCGTCTTTGTTCAATCAGAACCAGTGGACTTGTCTGTCTGTGTGCTCACGCATATCCTTGCAGCGCTTTTAACTCACAAACTGTTGGGTGGACGTCTCTACAAAATACACAGGTACAACACACGAAGTCTCCGGACGATAACGCGCTATTTGTTTTTCACACTCCATCGAATGTAAACTAATTAAATCACTTTGTTATAATTTGCGGATGCGGAAAGGCCTACTCGCGGTCGCGCCAAGAAAATCCACGCGGCGACGTGAGGGGGCTTCTTCGCGTTAAAAAGGCAAAGAAACTACGGAAGAACAACACTGAGGTAAATTCTGAACAGTGTGATGTCCTCTCCTCCTCCCCCCCACCTAAATGTGTGCAGTTACTGATATAGAGTCGGTAGATACTACTGTAGAGTCGGTAGATACTACTGTAGAGTCGGTAGATACTAATGTAGAGTCGGTAGATACTACTGTAGAGTCGGTAGATACTACTGTAGAGTCGGTAGATACTACTGTAGAGTCGGTAGATACTACTGTAGAGTCGGTAGATACTACTGTAGAGTCGGTAGATACTAATGTAGAGTCGGTAGATACTAATGTAGAGTCAGTATATACTATATACTATGATAGAGTTAATAGTTACCACTATAGTCAGTAGATACTACTATAGATTAATTATATACTACTATATGCTTTAGATACTACTGTAGAGTAAGTAGATACTACTATATGGTCGGTAGTTACTATTATAGAGTCGGTAGATACTAGTATAGAGTAAACAGTTACCACTATAGTCAGTAGATACTACTATAGATTCACTATATACTACTATAGGCCTTAGATACTACTGTAGAGTTAGTAGATACTACTATAGATTCACTATATACTACTATAGGTCTTAGATACTACTGTAGAGTCAGTAGATACTATTATAGAGTCGGTAGATACTAAAGTAGAGTCGGTAGATACTATTATAGAGTTAATAGTTACCACTATATTCAGTAGAATCTACTATAGATTTACTATATACTACTATAGGCCTTAGATACTACTGTAGAGTCGGTAGATACTACTATAGAGTCAGTAGATACTAATGTAGAGTCGGTAGATACTATTATAGAGTTAATAGGTACCATTATAGTCAGTAGATACTAATATAGATTCATTATATACTACTATAGGCCTTGGATACTACTGTAGTCGGTAGATACTACAAACAGATACCACTACAGTCAGTATATACTATTTGGTTCTTTCGGTAAAGTCATGTAGATAGAAAAAGAATAGATCACGACGTTTCGATTGCAACACAAGCAACCGTCTTCAGGTGAGAGAGAGAAACAGGCTGCTGAGACGAGGCATTATATAGACCCGAGAGAGGGGGGAGGGGGGGGTGCCACATCGGGCAAGAGGGAGGGGGAAGCTCGGTGAGGGCCGAGCTCGGCTAGGGTCCGGAAATTAGCTTGTAAATGCAAGCTCGGTGAGGGCCATGTCAATGCATGAGACTAAGCGAGTGGGAAATCCCAAGAGGGAAGGAGCGGAAGAGAGAGGTGTTTCGATCGCAACACAAGCAATCGTCTTCAAGTGAAAGAGAGAAAAGAAGGGGGGCTGAGACATCAAACTCATGACGGCAACTCAGAGAGTCGGCTAATATTGGCAGGTAGGAAGGGAATATGAAAGTAGTTACAACTTTACCTCGTTGATTACGTCCTTCCAATTATTGCTTAATTTGTATCCATCTCGGTTTATGTTATGTCTGTGTTTATATATCTGGATGGCTTTATGAACAAATCTTTGATGGTAGCCCAAACGTTTGCATAGTACCTTGATCTTGGAAAAAACAATTTTGTGTGAGCCCACAGCGTTAAAAAAGAGATCAGCCACGGCAGAAGTATTGGTTCTGCCATGTTTCAAATCTACCTTGTGTTCGCGAACAAGGTCAGAGACATGTCGTTTTGTTTCCCCAATGTAACTGCTACCGCAGGCACAACTTAGTTTATAGACACCAGGGTATTGCATGTCAGGAATCACATTCTTCACAGATGGCACATACCAAAAAGATACAGAGCAGGGGCTACCAAAAGGATCTATTATTTTTCTATTTCCGTGATGTTACGAAAAGAACCAAAGAGTATGAATTTCTGCAGTCACGAAAGCTTCAAATCAAGATCAGTATATACTGTTGCAGAGTCAGCAGATACTGCTATAGAGTCAGCAGATACTGCTATAGAGTCAGCCGATACTACTATAGAGTTAGTCGATACTACTACGATCAGTAGATGCGACTGTACAGTCAATAGATACAACTACAGAGTCAGCAGATATGAGTATATAGTCAGTAGATACTACTGTAGAGCCAGATACGACTATAGAGTCCACTAGATACTACTGACTATTTTTTTTAGGGTGAGTAGGTATATATACGTAAAGTCACGTAGAACCTATATACGTGACTATACCGAAAGACCCAAGAATATTAATTTCTGCAGTCACGAAAGCTTTAAGTCAAATTAAAATTGGCTGGGGGGGGGGGGGTAAAAAGATTTTTGGAGGCGGGGGGTTGACAATTTTTGGAAACCTTTTATATCAACTATTTATCTCCTACATTTTATAACTTTTTTTATTCAGGACTTCTGCAAGCCTCTTATAATTTTGTTGACGGATAAATGGACAGACAAACGGAACACCGGGCTTTCACAATAGCTTAGTATTTGTTTATGTACATGTTATATAAGACAAGTTTTGAAATATATTTTTCCTCCGAGCAAAGCCGGGTACTTCCTGCTATCTTACCTATAAACGTCATTTTTTGTCTAGCAACACAAACGAGCTTGCTGAGCGGCGACGGGAGGGAGGTTCTCCTTGGCGGAAAAATGCCAAAAAGAAAAAAATCAAGGCTCTGCCAGAAAAAAAAACACAATAAGAAAATGGTGCTGTGGTGCGTACCGACAGTGGAGGAGCAGCGGCTTTCCCAACAGCTAACCAACAACGAAGGCACCTCAGCCTTCGTTGAGGAAACTGAAGAGCATTGTGCATGGAGACAAGCTACAGACAATATAGTTACTTCTGCACATGCACACGCTGAGATAAATCCTGAACAGTGTACATGTATACAAGCTACAGACTGTACAGTTACTTCTGCAGATGCACACGCCGAGGTAAATTCTAAACAGTGTGCATGGAGACAAGCTAGAGACTACACAGCCACTTCTGCACCCCAGGCTGAGGAAACACCAGAACAACGGGAAACTCGAAAAGCCAGGGCACGCACAGTCACTGCAGAAGCACGGGCTATGGAAACTACTGCGCAACGTGAATCTCGACAAGCCAGGGACCGCATAGCCACTGCAGCAGCACGGGCTAAGGAAACTACTGCACAACGTGAATCTCGACAAGCCAGGGACCGCGCAGCCACTGCAGCAGCACGGGCTGAAGAAAACCCCGAACATCGTGCATCTCTACAAGCCAGGGACCGCATAGCCACTGCAGCAGTACGGGCTAAGGAAACTACTGCACAACGTGAATCTCGACAAGCCAGGGACCTGCGCAGCCACTGCAGCAGCACGGGCTGAAGAAAACCCCGAACATCGTGCATCTCTACAAGCCAGGGACCACACAGTCACTGCAGCAGCACGGGCTGAAGAAACCCTGAACATCGTGCACCTCGACAAGCCAGGGACCCCACAGTCACTGCAGCAGAACGGATTGAAGAACACCCTGAACTTCGTGCATCTCGACAAGCCAGGGACCGCACAGACACTGCAGCAGGACGGTCTGAAGACAACCTTGAACATCGTGCATCTCGACAAACCAGGGACCGCACAGCCACTGCAGCAGCACGGATTGAAGAACACCCTGAACATCGTGTATCTCGCCAAGCCAGGGATTGGACAGTCACTGCAGCAGCACGGGCTGAAGAAAACCCTGAACTTCGTGCATCTTGACAAGCCAGGGATTATACAGGCACTGCAGCAGCGCAGGCTCAATAAAACCCTGAACTTCGTGCATCTCAACAAGCCAGGGACCGCACAGCCACTGCAGCAGCACGGGCTGAAGAACACCCTGAACTTCGTGCATCTCAACAAGCCAGGGACCGCACAGACACCGCAGCAGCACGGGCTCAATAAAACCCTGAACTTCGTGCATCTAAATAAGCCAGGGACCGCACAGACACTGCAGCAGCACGGGCTCAATAAAACCCTGAACATCGTGCATCTTGACAAGCCAGGGACTGCACAGACACTGCAGCAGCAAGGATTGAAGAACACCCTGAACTTTGTGCATCTCGACAAGCCAGGGACCGCACAGACAATGCAGCAGCAAGGGCTGAAGACAACCTTGAGCATCGTGCATCCTGACAAGCCAGGGACCGCACAGACAATGCAGCAGCAAGGGCTGAAGACAACCTTGAGCATCGTGCATCTCGACAAGCCAGGGACTGCACAGTCACTGCAGCAGCACGGATTGAAGAACACCCTGAACTTCGTGCATCTCGATAAGCCAGGGACTGCACAGTCACTGCAGCATGGATTGAAGAACACCCTGAACTTCGTGTATCTTGATAAGCCAGGGACTGCACAGTCACTGCAGCAGCACGGATTGAAGAACACCCTGAACTTTGTGCATCTCGATAAGCCAGGGACTGCACAGTCACTGCAGCAGGACGGATTGAAGAACACCCTGAACTTCGTGCATCCTGACAAGCCAGGGGCCACACAGACACTGCAGCAGCACGGATTGAAGAACACCCTGAACTTCGTGTATCTCGACAAGTCAGGGACCGCACAGACACTGCAGCAGCATGGATTGAAGAACACCCTGAACTTGGTGCATCTTGACAAGCCAGGGACCGCACAGACACTGCAGCAGCAAGGATTGAAGAACACCCTGAACTTGGTGCATCTCGATAAGCCAGGGACCGCACAGACACTGCAGCAGCAAGGATTGAAGAACACCCTGAACTTTGTGCATCTCGACAAGCCAGGGACCGCACAGACACTGCAGCAGCACGGATTGAAGAACACCCTGAACTTTGTGCATCTCGACAAGCCAGGGGCCGCACAGACACTGCAGCAGCACGGATTGAAGAACACCCTGAACTTCGTGCATCTTGACAAGCCAGGGACCGCACAGACACAGCAGCAGCACGGATTGAAGAACACTCTGAACTTAGTGCATCTTGACAAGCCAGGGACTGCACAATCACTGCAGCAGCACGGGCTGCAGAAAACCCTGAACATCGTGCATCTCGACAAGCCAGGGACTGCACAGACACTGCAGCAGCACAGGCTGAGGAACCCCAAAATAAAAAAATGGTACGTCATAGGCAATTCTATCATGCTGCTGGATCAAGAACAAGAAGAAATAACCCGGATTAAAACAGAGCAGGATTAAATTACCAATCTGAGATCGATTATTATCAGTCCATGGTGATATTAGGCTCTATATCAATTACTTGCGAAGAATGCGGTACTAAAATGTGGAAAGGAGAATCCAAGGGAATGTGCTGCAGTGATGGAAAAGTCAAACTTTGTCTTGTGCACCCCGCCCCCTGAGCCACTGGAATCCTTGGTATCTGGCCATACTTCTGTAAACACTTTCTGACCAACATCAGGAAGTACAATTCCTGCTTTCAAATAACTTCTTTTGGTTGTTGTATATATGCCCCTTTTCCAAAATTTATATTGAGTAATTCTGCCAATATTTTTGTTGTAATAATCGATCTGGGTGTTGCATGGGGCAAAAAAGGGTGAAATAATACACCCCTCATAACTCGAGAATGAGAAGCACGGATCCCTGGCGATACAGACTGGGAACAAAGGTTAATAAAACCCTCAGAATACCTGCGTTAACAACTATGGTAGATCACAAATCTTGGGTAAACATAAACCAAATCATAATTATTAAGTATTAGACCTAGGGTCATTCAGAAGAGATACACGGCAAAATAGGTCAATTACACACGACAAGATAAAATGCATTCCATAGAATCGGAGCCTCCCCAACTGCCTTTGTCTTCCAGCAGCACATGGTAGCAATAACCTATGTAGGCAGGGAGGGCGCCTCCCCTTTATATATCAAACACCATGAAGAAATTCCAAACCACGATGGAAGTGCTGTAAACATACGAAGATAAAGGGTAGTATATAATATTTATTTTTCTCTCTCTAAACCCGTAAGAGTGAACGGAAAGAATGGCGACAAGAGGACACACTTCAAAAGACAACGCCCCTTTTTGTGAGAGACAACAAGAAAAATGTAACACCCCCAACTGTGAGGGAAGATAAGGGGGGAATGCAGCTGAACAAAGGACAAAAGGAACCACCCCCCTGCTGCTTCCAGATTAATTATGGCAGAAAATAAAAAATAGTCGCTCTACTCGGAGGGGCAACTAGCAGCTGTAATCAAAAAGGAGAGAAGAATTCAAAGGGATTCCCGTTTCCTTTGTGAAAGACGCGCCGAGGGGGATAATTTCAGATATAAGCAAGGACAGAACACACAATTTAGTTGTGCAAGTGGCAGGCTCCGGGAATATGCCCCCGTGACAGGTACTCGCAGTACTACCATAATACCACGTGGGCAAGAGTGTCGGCGCTGGCGACCAGCGGACGAGCTGCGAACGCAATCGTGCATCACCGAAGGAGAGCACGGAGAAGGAGAGAGAGCGCGTAACCAGCGCAACCGAGGAAAAATGTTGGCGCTGGCGATCAACGGACGAGCTGCGAGCGCAATCGGGCACCTGCAAAGACGAGCATTGTGCCTGCAACAGGCCTGGAGTTGCTGCCAAGAGAGAGAGCGCTATGTGTATGACACGCCCACACACACGACTCACCGCCTGGCAGGGAACCACTTAACTCAAAAAGTGGAGCACAACAACAATACACCCGCACACACACAACACACATATTGGGACTAATAAGATTGCTCCGAAAGTTATCTTTGTGTTTCAAAAAGGGTGGTCATCTAAAGTGGGTGCACTAAATAATAGCTGATCGTGAAAAGCATTGCTGTCCATTGAATTACGTGGATATGGTCGTTTAGAAGTATTTTAGTCATTCTTTTTCGTTAATTGTATAACTGTACCAATGAATTCATTGATGAAACGAAACATTTATAAACATCTATGTTACGAATCTCCACATTCACAGAGATATTATTGTATTAAAATATTTCTTTTGATCACAGAATCTTGCCTACAAATTTATTGAAGCCCTTAGCCAATTGATAAGCATTAGACAAGCAGGCACACTGCTGCACACCATTGTTCCAAGACATTTTGTTAATTGCATAATCTTACCAATGGATTCATTGAGGTCTTTTGCCTTCGGCACATTTTTTTTATTACTGTTCGTATTAATATTGTCACATAAAAGGTTTTTCCTGTCGCCATGTATGGTTGCTTTACTCTGAGGAATTAGCCAATTGTTCTCTTACCCAGTTAAACAAACGTAACCATTGAAGGTGAAATGTATGGATCAATGAGGAGGACATCTCCAGGAGTACTGTGTTGACATTCCTCGCATAAGAGTTTGCATATTAGAGTGTTATGTTTTTTTTTTAGGTATTAAAGTTGCTTAACACAGAAGAGTCTGAGTTCATACATAATACTGTATCCTGCGGTGAGATCTGAATTTTGGGATCTGACATAAACACAAACATAATCGGTTAAAGTTAAAGCGAGAATCATTGTATTATCATGATGGATAAACAACCCTAGACAATGAAGCCAAGCCTAATTATTATAAATTACATACACTTGCATAACTTCATACAATTACACCTTCATTTTATTGTTACGATAGGAAATACGCCGAGGCAACGAAACAGAGCCTAATTAGCATAAATGGGGAATTTGCATAATTACATAAATTAGCATATTTTTGGAACCTTTCACATTTTTATTTTTCATTTAATATTTATTATTTTTCCAATTTTTTAAGACCTAATATATACAACATGGTGCAACAAAGGAGATCGTGGAGCCAGGATTTATGCCCACGTTCAAAGTTCAAGACTAAGTCTATCATCGAATCGGATCCATTCAACCACTGCCTGGTGAAGAGCACAAGTTTATTCAGATATACTTCATGGGAGATGATGGCCAGCAAGGTAACCAGCAATGCAGCAATATTCCTGGTGCCAGACTAGAAATTGTTCTCTCACTCCATGTTCAACCAACACAATTTATTGATTTCAAGTTTCAAACATGCAGCACAACAAGTGCATCCAAGGTGTCAAGGGGTGGAGCATGCACGGAAGATCAATTCCCCAACTTGTGGTGAGGTTGCTGTTCGTATGGTGGGCGAAGAACATGGTAAGAGAGACATTGTGCTTCGATACCAAGGCAACACCACTAAACGGATTCCTGAGACAAACAGAGCATATGATGCGCTACAATACCCCCTGATAGACAACACCATCAAACGAATTCCTGAGACAAACAGAGCATATGATGCCCCATGTACTGTGGCGTGGGCAAAATGGGTACCACTTACAGATTCCTCAATTTATCAAAGCAATGCGCCAAAATCATCCTGACAAAACCGTCTCCTCTAAGTACTTCTATTCCTTCATGTTCATGGACAGAGGAGCAAACTGCATATTAAGGTGCGCCAACCTTTTTCACCAGTATGTTGTTGGTGAGTATGCCAAATTTGAGAGTGAGCGCCTTCTTTACATTAAACACAATCAAAAACGCCTGCGTGTAGAACAACATGTTCATCCCAGGGATGCTATCAATGCTGATGGAAATTCATTATTTTGCCCTCATCCTTCACAGGTGGACCAAGATACACGCATGAGAGGACTCACGATGCAATGACCTACGTCAGGCAATATGGCAGAGCCCGATCTCTTTATCACCTTCACTTGCGATCTAAAATAGAAGGAGATCCAGGTTGAGCTTTATCAAAACCAAAAGCCAACAGAGAGACACGACATCATTGCAAGGGTGTTTAAACTCAAAGTTGATCAACTCGCAAGGCTTATTACGACAAAGGAAGGCGGCATCTTTGGGATGACAAGATCTAACTTGCACACCATTGTGTGGCAAAAACGTGGTCTTCCTCATGCCCACATATTGCTATGGTTAAGGGAAAAAAATTCATGCAAGTGAAATTAACACATTTGTAAGTGCTGAGCTACCTGACCCCAAGAAAGATGTGGTCTGCAAGCAAATGGTCCATCGCCCATGTGGGGAGCTCAATCAAAATTCACCATCTATGCAAGACCGCAAGTGCACCAAGAAGTATCCACACGAGGATATAGAGGATGGTTAGCCTCTATATCGTCGCAGAAAAACTGAAGATGGTGGATTTGAAACAACGCTCAGACCTGGCACTAACTCTGAAATGAAGGTTGACAACCAGTGGATAATTCCCTACTGCCCTCTTCTGTGCAAGATCTTTGAGGCCCACATTAACGTGGAATTCTGAAATTCTGTGAAAGCCATAAAATGTTTGCAAATGCATCAACAAAGGGTCTGAAATGGCTGTGTTTGCCTTACAAAAAGAGGGGAAAGTGTGGATGAAGTTCAACTTTTTTGTCGAAGGAAGATATATCAGCAGCAACGAGGCCATTTGGAGAATTCTTGGCTTTCCCGTCCACGAGGGTTCTCCCCGTCAGCGGTCTATTTGGTAGTTCACCTCGAAAATGGTAACGCATCTACGTCACCCGAATTAAATGCCCAACAATAGGCCCTGCCTCCACGAGATACGACCCTTATGGCGTATTTTTTTTTTATGCCAAAGTGACCCATTTGCTTGCAACCTGCTCTATCATAAAATTCCCTCCTACTATACCTAGACTGCTAAAAAGAAAATGGAAGCGACGTGCTTGTGACAGTGAATCCGATGCCTTCGGAAGAGTCTACACAGTTCATCCCAACAATCAGGAGTGCTACTTTCTGCTAACGCTTCTCCCGTGTTGTCAAAGGACCAAAATCTTTCCAAGACCTAAGAACAGTGGACGTTGTCTGTCAAACATACAGGGAAGCTTACAATCTTCGTGAAATTCTTGAAGATGTTTACACTATGAGATCTCTTTTACCAGTGGCAAAATATAGTAGTAGGTTTTTACCCTTTTAAACTGGTACAAAACTGACACCTTTATTCAAGGCATCATGTTTGCAATAACCACAACACAAGTAGTCAAAAAAGCAAACAAAAAGAAGCAACTCTGATAATGATAATGATATGCACTGTCCTTGAAGTTGATTGGTCCACACCTGAGACGGCTTTATTTAGAGCCTAGTCCCCATTGGTGTTGGACCAGATGACACCAGAAGGCGTACAACTCAAACACAGTGCAATATCAGAGTATTGAGAGCTCGGGGTAAGCATTTACACTATGAGATCTCTTTTACCAGTGGCAAAATATAGTAGTAGGTTTTTACCCTTTTAAACTGGTACAAAACTGGCAAAATATACCAGTGGCAAAATATAGTAGTAGGTTAAAAACCTACTACTATATTTTGCCACTGGTAAAAGAGATCTCATAGTGTAAATGCTTACCCCGAGCTCTCAATACTCTGATAATGCACTGTGTTTGAGTTGTACGCCTTCTGGTGTCATCTGGTCCAACACCAATGGGGACTAGGCTCTAAAGAAAGCCGTTTCGGGTGTGGACCAATCAACTTCAAGGACAGTGCATATTATTATCATTATCAGAGTTGCTTCTTTTTGTCTGCTTTATTGACTACTTGTGTTGTGGTTATTGCAAACATGATGCCTTGAATAAAGGTGTCAGTTTTGTACCAGTTTCAAAGGGTGAAAACCTACTACTGGCTGATGCTCCCTCTCGCTCCCTCACTGGGTGCCGGTATCGCACACTGCTCGTGGTGCCTCCGTGCTAACCAGCGCTCACCCAACCACCGCTAGGGTTGGTACTGCAGCCCGTAACCCGGGCTGCCCATAATGACATTACTTCGCAAGCCCCGGCACCATACAGTGACGAGTACAGTCACTACATCTACAACACTTTTTAGTATTTGTGTATGTGTATGTTATGGTTTTTTAAGTGAAGACAAGTTTTTAAATATATTTTCCTCCGGGCAAAGCCGGTTACTTCCTGCTAGTTTTACCTATACAGTGATCCCTCGTTTATCGCGGTTAATGGGGACCGGAACCCCTCGCGATAGGTGAAAATCCGCGAAGTAGGATTGGCCCCCCTAGGAATTTCCGTATATGTGTGGGTACCAGAATGTTTAAAATATGTATATTTATACTTTAGATATATATTTTTTACTTAAATTTATTTAATTATAAAACCTTAATATACATTCACTCACTCACATATATTTTACTTAAATCTATTTAATTATAAAACCTTAATATTATACATTCACTCTCTCATACGATACGTATTATGATGCGCAGCCAATCAGCTCACGGGATACTGTACATCCACTCGTGTTCTCATTCGTCGATCTTGCGCTGGGAACCAATCACGTGCCTTGTCTGAGTGCCCGTGGGTACAGTATGTACAAAGCCTCTGAGAGAGTTTTTCTCTTTGTCTGGCATCCTGGGAAACCGTTTCTCTCGCGCATCACGATGAAACAACGCTGCTTTCCGCAATACGGCTGCCGATATGGCGGTATTTTTGAATTTTTATTTTTCGATGAATATTTTTGAAAAATCCGCGATGCACTGAGGCCGCGAAACTTGAACCGCGAAGTGGCGAGGGATTACTGTAAATGTAATTTTTTGTCTGTCAGTCTCTGTCTGTCTGCGCAGGCCTTGCAACGCTTTTAACTGACAACACTTGGGTTTATGTTTCAACAAAGTACACATACGACACACGAAGCCCCCGGACGAAAACACCCTATTTGTTTTTCCCCTTGCTCAAATGTAAACTAATAAAGTCACTCTTTGTCACAATTTATTTTTACGCTGATCATGTCGCCGAAAGCACGCATCTGCACATACGCGGGAACGCTGACTCACGGTTGCCCCGAGCAACGGACATGAACTCGCTGAGCGGCAACGTGAGGGAGCTTCTCCTTCGCATTAAAAAGACGAACAAGAAAAACATCAAGTATAGTTCCTGCTGCAAGTACATGCTGAGGTAAAATCTGAACAGTATGATGTCCTCTTCTCCCCCCCCACCCCAATGTGTGCAGTTACTACTATTGAGTTAGTAGATACTACTATTGAGTTAGTAAATACTACTATAGAGTCGGTAGTTACGACTACAGAGTCGGTAGATACTACTACAATCAGTAGATACAACTGTAGACTCAGTAGATACTATACTATTTGGTTCTTTTGGTAAAGTCATGTAGGTATAAAATAAAATAAATCACATTTCGGGCACAACACAAGCGTCCGTCATCAGGTGGGAAAGCTTCAAATCTAGATTCAGTAGATACTACTATAGAGTCGGTAGTTAATACTGTAGAGTTGGTAGATACTACTGTACAATCCGTAGATACTATACAGTTAGTAGATACTACTATAGAGTCACTGCATACTACTGTAGAGTCGGTAGATACTACTGTACAATATGTAGTTTCAACTATAGAGTCGGTAGAGACTACGATAGAGTTAGTAGTTACTACTGAAGTGAGTTCAACTGAGTCGCAGACGAACTCCTGGAGGCAACACATTTATTTAACACCAACACACGAGGTAACTGCCCCTTTACAGAATAACAACCTATGGTGGTGACCACCAGGCTAACTACACTAATTATGTCACTAGCTACAACGGACCGGACCAAAGCTCGGGTCCAGGTCCATGTGTTGGAGACTCGGTAGAATGTAGGACGTCGACGAAGGTGAACAACAACGCCGGCCCCTCTGGGGGACCCGGCTTATATCCTCTGCGGTGTGGCTGGCTCCGCCCTTGACCACGACCACCTTCCAGAATGCTCTAGCAGGATCTGGACCCCGACCTCGTGACCACCCCTAGCTGGGGGCCCATTGTAGACTTAACCGGTCACGTGTCCTCTCGGGTCAACCAGAGTGCCACGGCCTTTACTAACCCCATTCCTACAGCCGGCACTCCCACACCCTATCCTGTAGGGGACCGGCACTGCACGCCAAGCGTGGTGCCATCCAGCGCTCTCAATCACCACTCACCCAGCCCTTCTAGGGTCGGTACTACACCCTTACCATTGTGGTGTCCGCGATGTTACATCGCACGCCGTCCCTCTAGGGCTGGCACAGCACAGTGACATCCCGCGATGTCACTACACTACTATCGAGTCAGTACATACTACAGTCAGTAGATACCACTACAGCCAGTATATACTACTGCAGAGTCAATAGATACTGCTATAGAGTCAGCAGATACTACTATACAGTTAGTAGTTACTACTATAGTCAGTGGATACTACTATAGAGTCGGTAGAAACTACCGTATAGTCGATAGATACTACCATAGAGTCAGTAGATACTACTACAGTCAGTAGATCCCACTTTAGTCAGTAGATACTGCTATAGAGTCAGCAGATACTGCTATAAAGTTAGAAGATCCTACTATAGAGTTAGCAGTTACTACTATAGTCAGTGGATACTACTGTACAGTCAGTAGCTACTACTGCAGAGTCAGTAGATAATACTATGATCAGTAGATACTACAGTCAGTAGATATTACTATAGAGTCAATAGATATGAATGTACAGTCAGTAAATACTACTGTCAGTAGATCTACTACGGTCAGTAAATACAATTACAGTCATATACTACTACACAGTCAGTAGATACTACGGTCAGTAGATACTACTATAGAGTCAGTAGATACTACAGTAAAGGCAGTAGATACTATTGTCAGTAGATACTACTACGGTCAGTAAATACTATTACAGTCAGCAGTTACTACTATACAGTCAGTAGATACTATTATAGATTCAGTAGATACAACTGTACTCAGTAGATACTACTGTACAGTCAGTAGATACTACTGTAGAGTCAGTAGATACTATTGTAGAGGAGTAAAATGGGGACGTGACTTCATGTGTGCCGTTCAATGCGATTACATCACGTCTCCTAGAGTACTTAAGGGAGACCCCGTGACGAAAGCGGGGTCACTGTGGGAACTGGTAGAGTAAGAAGGGTGAAGAGGGAACCAGGGGTAGAGAGGGATCGAGTAGTGAATCTGGGGAGAAGCCGGTGGTAGCCGATAGAGGTGCTCTCTCTCCGGTCGGTGGAGTCGGCAGAGTCCCCTATCCGACACGAGAGAGCGAGACCGGAGCTAGCCGGGCAGGGACCAGGACTCAGTGCAGGACCCCTAGTCCCTGGGAGTTGTGTACCCTTGTGTGTATTTGCGAAGTCTTTAATAAACCCTTGGTGAGGCCCATAACTTATCTCCTTCTCCGAGTGCGTTCGTGGGAACCTCTCTACACTATTACTGTCAGTAGATACTACGAGGGTCAGTAGATACTACTGTACTCAGTAGATACTACTCTCGAGTCGGTAGATACTACTACAGAGTAGGTAGATACTACTGTAGAATTGGTAGATACTATTATATTGTCAGTATTTACTACTACCGTCAGTAGATACTACTAGAGTCAGTACATACTACTGTAGAGTCAGTCAATGCGAGAGTCAGCAGATACTGCTATAGCATCAGCAGATACTGCTATAGAGTTAGTAGATACTACTACGATCAGTAGATACTATTACATTCAGTAGATACTACATGCAGCAGATACTGCTATAGTCAGATACTGCTATACAGATAGTTACTACTATAGTCAGTAGATACTACTCTAGAGTTAATATATACTATAGATTCAGTAGATACTACTATAGTCATTAGAAACTACGGTAGAGTCAGTAGTCACTACTATAGAGTCAGTAGATACTGCTATAGAGTCAGAAGATATTGCTATACAGTCAGCAGATACTACTATTGAGTTAGTCGTTACTACCATAGTCAGTAGATACTATTATACAGTCAGTAGATACTACTACAGAGTCCGTAGATACTACTGCAAAGTCAGTAGATAATGCTATGATCAGATACTACTACAGTCAGTAGATATTACTATACAGTCCCTCCAGAAAAACGCGGAGTTTTTTGGTGATTGTTGCGGGCAAAAATCGTTGATTATGCGGCACGTTTTCTTAAAAAATGCGATGGAATATGCGGGATATTTATGCAATTTTATGCGATTAAATTGCGGGAACTTGCAAAAATTGCGGGAACTTGCAAAAATTGCGGGAACTTGCAAAAACTTGCGGTTTGATGAAAAAGAGAAAAAAAAGTGATTCCCCCAACACCCTATTCACTAGGCTACTACTTTAATGTAAAGAGTCATTTCTTATTACTTCCTATGATAAGCAAGCATACTACATCACAGAAAGTGCTGGGAATATTTAAGTTCTCATCTTGTTTTATTTCAGACCTTAACAAACAGATGGCTCAAACTTACAAAACATTGAGTCGAACAAGTTC